GAGCTCATTAGCTTAGAGCATATGGTGCTTGGGTGTTTGAATAAAGAATGCTAGAAGCAAGTGAAATGTAATATAGGTACAGCTCTATACACCAGGATCAAAGGTGTGATTTTTGTACGGAGTTGTTACAGAGGCAGTTGGGTGATTACTGCATGACAGATGTGAAATTCTATGTGAAAGTAAGTTGCATCACAGTAAATGCCTAGACACATACTCTAATAATTAAGATATTTTAACTCAAAAACTTTACATTATTGTGGCACACAAGTAAACCATTGAATAGAGATATCTAAAGGTGGCATTAGAAAACAATACATTGTTTTATTTCAAAATCTCCAGACATTTTACCAAATACATTTTACCAAAGTCTTTTGTCATTGAACATAAACCCATCTTTTAGCCTAAAATAGGGCCAGAACAGTTTTTAAAAAACTTTAACAAATGCCTATCACTAAAATGTGGCCATAACAGATCATTATATGCATATGTGTTAATTTGTATTGTTAATGTATTCTTTTAAAAATAAAGGATCTAAATTAATGCATTAAATTTGACTTATTAGGGCTCCATTGACCAGTATTACAGCTATCAAACGGTTAGGTACTGCAAATACACCTACCTATGACACCACGCATTATGACAAAGAAATACAGTAAAACAGTGATGATCTAAGAAAATATACTAAAAAAAATGCCAGTAAGCGTTTGTCAACACCATGTTTTAATACTGAGCTTTACTCTAAATGAACCAAGTGTGGTGAGTGATTTAAATAACGACCGAACATTAACCGAACATTTCTATTACCATGCTTTTCAAATTGTCTTGTAGAGTTTAAGGCTAGGGTTTGCTGTTGTGTTGCACTGTGTTTTCATTTTATTGATTGTTTACACATTGCGGGCTATGTCAATTATCTGTCAAGTGATTAAGTCTTTTGCATATTGTTTTCTAAAAGAATGCCTTTCTTGCAAGAAATGTTTGACAACTAATTAGTTATGATTTCATTTTTGAAAGTTGCTTGTAATGTTTATCGTCTGTGGTAGCGGAGAGACAAAAGTAAAGCAGAAGTTAAATAAGTTCACTTGAATAATTTAAACACTACTTTGCTGTGAATGAATTTGATTTCCAAACTTTACATTTCAGAATCATTCAATAAATTAACACCATGCTTGGTTCATTTGGAGTAACACTCGATATTAAAACACAGTATTCACAAGCACTTACTGTCAAACAAAGAGGTCACGCAGACCTCTACGGGGAGCACCATCTCTTGCTACATTCACCTGCCCTCGGAAATCAGAATAACGCTATATAATGTTTTAAAGCATCCTGTCCTGCAATTTTTATCTAAGTCTGACGTCTTTAATATTGTGCCTGACAGACAACATAACAAGCAAACAAATGAAAGGAGACCAATCCATTCCCTCCAACGTCATTGTAGGGACAAATAGAAGGGCTGATAAAAAGCAGGATGGCAGGAAGAAAGTGTATTAAGACAGGAAATTAGAAGCTACTTTATATGTAAAAATAAAGCCATATCAAGACAGAGAATGGCAGTAACAGGACAGTGAAGAATAAGCAGAAAAACAACAATTTGCACGTATTTAACGAATGATGATATACAACAGAAAAAATGACTGATCAAGATAGAGAAACAGAGAGATAATAGTTGTAGATTATAGGCTGATTTCGCTACTGACCTCGCTCGCACCCTTTGTCTGCCCAGCTAATCACTGAAGAGAAAACCTGAGGTGACCCATGATCAAATAAAACAGGTACTCACCGGAAGAGTATGAGTGCTTATGTGTCTGCACATTGGATAAGACTATAATTTATTAATGTTGAGTTCATAGTGTGTGAGCACGGGGTTTTATTGGCATTTGAAAACACAGACTGAAAGAATGTGTGTAGTGTGTGCGCTACAAATGTATGATATGAATCCTTCACATTTATTGTTGTTTTACAGCTTCAGAAGAAGGGAAACACTTTTTTTGGCTTTGTTTTGGAATAAAAGACTATTAGACTTTAGATTTTTAGCATTGGTATTTAATGTATTCTTGTTTTGTAAACAGCTCTCTATATGCTTCTCCACTGCCGCGGGGCATCGTTGGCCAATTTTGCAAAATCCAACTGCACGCTAAGGAACTGAAAGGAAATTACATGCATTGGCCAGCCTACAAACCACTGATGGCGGGTCACACACAGACCAATGGAGAGCACAGAGGAAGCGACCACTCAATGTGCCCTTTTATGTATTTTATATTAGTTCTGAGTGTCTGTTTCTTTTATAAATTTCCAGCAAACAGCCAATGTGCTGCTGCTCCCTCGCATTGTTGATGCTACTTTACATCATTGCTTTGGTTTAAATTCTGGGATTTGTATTATCGTAATACACTTGCCGCAGTTCATACATTTTATTTGTATTCTTTTCTGGAATCTTCTTACACTTAAGCACATCATTTGGGTTATGATCAAAACTGAATTAGGCAAATAAACATCAATGATGCTGTTCTGCACCTTCTGTTTAATTGTTTAAGCGTGTGTGTGTGAACAATTATTTATAGCCATTTTACAAGGTTGTGTCCCAATTATTCTTAATGGTTCTTTTTGCATGATAACCCTTTCCCCTATGTTTTAATTATACATATATTAATGCCATTCATTAATTTACCAGATTAAAAACAAATTATCTGTTTTAGTAAAATGGAGTAGCACCATCCAAAATTTGAGATGTTTCTTTTGGTTGGGTGTGTAAAATTGAGATGAATCTCTCTCTCTCTCATGGCTAAATGGCTGCATTCCCACATCAGACAGCAAGTATAAACTCTCTCTCTCTCTCTCTCTCTCTCCCTCTCTCTGTGCGTGGGTCAGTCTGAAGGAGCGTGTGATATCAGCCCCCAGGTTTATTGGTGTTTTATTTATAATTTACAGCTTCTACAGACAGGTGTTCAGGTAGCCAGACATTTCTTCCTTCCTTTTTCTTCCAAAAATCTATTTCAATACTTATTTAGATACAACACTGCCTATCTATGCTGCTCCAACAGAAAGCAGGAATATGTTTTGTGTCGCCATAATGCACCTCAGTATATGAAACACAGAACACTGCTGTAACTAAGCTTCATCTCTTCCCTCCATGTTCAGTTAGCTGTAACCACTTACATGGGTGCATGGCATGAATAGCTAATATGTAAGTAGATGTTGTGTATCTGCCAGGTCTCCCTTTAAAAATAGATTTTAATCTCAGAGGACTTCCTGGTTAAATAAAGGTTAGATAAATAAAAAATGTAAATAAGTGAGCTCAATTATGTACTTATATAATAATAATAATAATAATATCTTTCTCTCTTGCAAGGCTGGCAAAAATTCTGCATTAAAGTCACAATTCTTAAAGCTATCACATAAACCCATTTTTATTTATTAGTCACCTTTCTATATAGCAGTTTGCAACCATTCCTGGGCTGGAATCAATGGCATATGCACAAGGCATTCACAAAAAATGAAACATGTTCTGGACAACATTCGAACAAGAGCCGGCCACACTCAGGGCTGGCCCTGGCAATGTTGGCGCCCTAGGTGAGATTTTAAATTGGCGCTACCCCATGCCCAACCCTAAAAAGTCCACTCAGGGGTTGGGGCCATCGCTCCCCTATCCTCAAGAATTGTTCTAAACATTCAGCAGCCAAACTCACAATTTTAGCATGTATAGATGAAAAGCCAATAAGTGTGATCCGTTAACTTGTCAACCTCAACATCATAGCCTAAATTAGGAGACAAAACCTATTCCCCTCCAGAAACTGTGAGTCAACCCAGAGACTGTTTTCTTGCAGTATGTGGTAGATTTCTTTAAATGCTAGAGCAGTGGTTTAGTTTCAATAGTGGAGATGACTCAAATGAAGCGGAGGGTGTGGGGGTCTTCATTTCCTGCATTCTGGTGGAAAGTTCTGCCTTTTCTGCCTCAATTTATGGTCTTTTAAAATCTTCATTTATGAAAGGGGAACACAAAATTCAGGCAGCAGGTGACAATTCAAAATATAAAAAATGTATAGAATATAATGCAGTAAGGCTTTCAGACATTCTGTAGCTATTGCTTTTAAATAGCCTATATTTCTCCTGTATATCAACTTTTCTAATTTAATAAAATCCCTGCTGAGTCAGCACACCTGCAGGCATGATTCAGTCTTCTCTTCTCTTTTGTGTCTTTTGCATGGGGATGTGCATGTGGCACCTTTTCACCTCAAATAAGTTAATTTTAATTAAAGTAAAAAAATTTATAAACCCTGTGTTTTACCAGGTTTTCTGCTCATGTTCAAAACTTTCTGCACATTCAGAATCTCTCCCACATCTGTGTTCTCTGACATGTCGAAAAGAAAGATGTAATATTTAGAGACTAACGTCATTATTTGATGAGAATTCATAATATTTTTTGATTCTACCTGCCTTATACTCTGCTGTGCATTACTTATTGCTCCACTGGAATTATCCCCTTTAGACTGTTTGACCAAGACAGTGCACAGACTGCATGTTGCATGTGAAACCACAACCAACTGGAAAACACTCAACACAAATCCACACACACGTTAACTCAGCAGCTCCAGTAAAGTGCAGCTCACAGACCCAAACAAAGCAAGCGGCTGCCAGGTTTTAGATGTTTATATTGCAAAACTCTACACAACGACTCGTCACAACTGTCTGGACTCACAGCGTGAGGTGCACTTAATTACTATCACGGCGTACGCCGTGCGGCAAGTCGAAAACCTTCTCTTGCGGCGCCCCCTGCCATTTTGCGCCCTAGGCAACCGCCTATGTCGCCTATGCCACGGGCCGGCCCTGTGCACACTGCATGTAATTTGCGCGGATATGCAATCATTCTATGTATTACTATGTTGCTCTTAATGTAATCACCAGTAGGAGACAGTGTAGCCACATCAACTAGAACTGAAATTTTATGGATTATAAAAGCATGTACCCCATGTGTGTGTGTGTGTGTGTGTGTGTGTGTATACCTGTATTCTTCCTGAGTAAACACGGGAATGGCAGAAGGCTGAAGGACTGTTATCTCTACGAGAGTTGTGTTCTCCTTTGCAGGCTCACCATGATCATAGGCCACCACCACCAGCTGTCAGTCAAACACACACACATAGGGGTAAAGGCAGGGTCACAAGAATCATTAGATGCCCACAAACATTGCAAACGTATCAGTTCACAACATTTTACAGCCTGCTGACAGTGGAGACAGCCAGACAGCCAAATAAATTGATGCAGCTAATGCATGACAGGCCGATAATAAACCAACATAAATGTCTAGATCTTGTTGTCTGCACTCTAAAAGCACATTATTTGCATGGGCATAGGAAAACAGGATGAGTGTGTATCCCACTAGTGTGCTTATTTCTTCCTGATTAGCCTTTCTTCTTCATTTAATTGGGGGGGTAACCAGTGATAACTGGACCCAGAGGAAATTGAAATATTGTGTTCCCTTGTTTAGCCAGGAAATTGTCACTGATACTGCATTGCCCTTCTTTACGTTCATACAGTAGGGGGATTAAAGAGACAGGAGCATCTAAAGCATCAGACAGAGGCTGAAATGAAGACCTCCATGAAAAGCCTGTACAAGATAGGAAATTATTCTTTTGAACTTTGAATCATGCAAAGCTGCCATACAGGAGTCACAGAACAATATAGGACTGGAAATGCAGTATAATAGGTATCCTTTTACCAGGAACCTGCTGAATGCTCTTTAACTGTGAAAACTTACTAACTCTGTTGGTACATGTGGGAGTTAATTCCCTTTCTCAATAGCACAATAAAACCTGTTTCTAGCCTTGCCTTTTTTTTTTTTTTTAAATGCCTAAAGCTGTGGTGCCTTTATAATGTAATGCAAGGAAAGTAGGTAGACATTTTCTACATGTCAATGAGATCTGTCCTTGTAAAAATTATACCTTAGATAGTGTTTATCTCAGTTATAATCCAGAAATTGTACACAGTGCTGGACTGATTCATTTTGTTTGCGTTATTGGGAGCAAACGAGGTAGAAGTAGTCCCCTGAGTGACATCTTCAGAGGACGCTGAATCCTTGTTGTGTTAATTAAAGCCCAATGAAAAGATGAAATTAGCATGGCCCAAAGCCCCATTGAGGAGTGCAGCTGGGAAAATGCAGTTTTGAAACAAATGAGCTACTGCGGTATACTTTGAACCGTGGGCAGGGATTTATTAAGTTGTCTGTACAAAGACACCTTTATTTGCACAAATGCTACAAGTAAGCAAGTGCAATCTGAGATTGATGATCAAATTAATTTTTAATGACTCAATTCATGTAATGTTGTCCCAATCCTCCACCCACTTAATACTGAATTTCAAAAACTACAGCAAACCAGGGATGCATCAGATACATCTTCTCTTGTAATGATGTCTCTATTGGACTACAGCCCCGGTGCCAATTTTTGCAGTTTGAATAGATCAGTTTGATTGATCGGGAATTACATTAAATGATGCTGCATACTGTATTTACATTGTGATATACAGTAGACTCACCGCACCATGGGTATATATTGAATACATTACTGTCTGATGGAAGTTAATATCTTTCCAGTAGGAGAATCTTTTACTGCTGTTTCACTCCAGCGTAGATGTGCATATTTTATAACAGCTAGTGCCAAACAATTTACATAACTGCAATAGGTATCCAGTTCTGATCAGTGTCATGTAAATGCAACTGAACCACAGGCACCTTTTACAGAATACTGAATACAACAGGGGTAATCTTTTTTGTCTTTAATACAAAGCAAAGTCTAGTTATGGGGGGACAGTCTATGAGTTTCCCTTCTGAGACTGTTTGATTTCAATAGACTGACAGTGCCATCCGCAGAAAGATTTGAAAAGTCACAAAAATAAGCATTATCTCACAAAGTAGGATTTGTTTTTTCTTATTTACTCCCCAGGAAATCTTTTCACAGCCCCTTCGAGACATTATGTGACCTTTGTGGGTTAGGAACCACTGGCATACAACATAGTGTACATCATGGATTAACAGTGCCCTGTGAGTTAAACTGTGTGTGTGCATACTTACGCTAAACTTGAGGTTGGGCTCCTCATTGAGGTTTACTCTGGTTACCACATTTCCGGTCTTTTCCTCCACATCAAATATACTGGCAGAATATGGATAAGCCTCCTGGTCCACTTTATAGCTCACTAGACCTGCTGGGGTACCCTGTGAAGAGAACTTGTATATTTAGGATGACAGATTTAGGTGAATGTGGCATTAGCATGAAATATCTCCTGCATGCTTTCTGGAATGCTGCCAGATGTTTTACAAAGTAGCATCACATTAAAAAGCATTGTGCAGTAATGAATGTGTAATGAATGTTACGGTATTTAATATCCAAAGCAATTAGTTTGGACCTAAATGTCAAACAGTGCCCCCCCTGTCCAAATACATATGAAGCAGTTAAGACACACACATTACCACTTAAATGAGGACCAATTTTAGGTACTATAATGATCATGAGTAAACCTCTCAAGTGTTGTTGATAATGAGCAACCATCAGCTGGTATGACTTATCGCACTCAGGAAATACATAGTTACATAATTTATTATGCCACCAGCTCACAGTCCCCTAGTACTGTATATCGTCTAACATTTTAACAGTGTGTCTTATTGTCTGAGGAACAACCCAGACTGGTCACTTGCTGCCATTTGTTTAATTGTTTTATCTTGACTAAGGCTAGGGATCTAAAATGTTCAACAGAGACTAAGTCATCTACTATGGCTGTTACCAGACCAGGGTCTCATGTTTACTAGATGGTTGCAACAAAGCCACCCCGCCAGTAAACAGAAAGGTAAAACAAAAACCTCTCTGAGGTCATATTTCCATTAAAATACTTTTACTGCAACATCACTAAAAGATTCAGTGTGAAAAGCACTGGGAGCCTATAAAGCAATTAGCCTGTATAATGTTACTTTTTGACCCATGACAGTCTAGCTTGATGCTTAAACCTCAAGTTTGAATTAATTCAGCTGATGTAGGGAGACGGCAAGCACATTAGTCAAAGGAACATTGGGCTTTTAAAGGTTTATGAGGTAACATCACCAGTGTGGAAGATTTCACACGGAGATGGCAGAGAGAAAAATAAGATCATTCCTTTTTGAGCAGTAATGCAAAGTAAAGATACTTTTGTGTGTTTTTCATAAATATTTATTTGGTGATTTACTACACAGTAAAACAGCAAATTTAGCCATTTTTCACAGAGTCACTGCATTTCAGATCTGCATCTAAACAAAAGGCTGTGTGATTTCATCAGATCCACACAAGCTATATTCACACTGCACTTACACCCCGGTAAGAACAGTTTACGACCTTTAAAGCCTGGGGGTTAACTGGATCAGACTATCTAATGGCTCACAGTGGAACTCTAAAGTGAGCTAACCTTCATTTTACAGCAAATAGAATAAACCAGCCTATATTACAAAGATGTTAAGAGTTAAAAGCACAATTGAGGTATCACTAAGTGCTACACTGGGGTAAAAAAAAAACCAGCTCTACTGGAGAACAAAGTGCAACCACATTCAAAACACACACACACACACTGGGGACAAGTGTCATTATATTGTCTCATTCTCATCCACAATTTGAGGAACACCCTGTGAAAAACAGTTTGATTGAATATAGCAGCAGCTGGAAATGCTCACCGCAGGGTCAGAGTCATTGGCCATCACTGTGGTTACGATGGTTCCCTTGACAGCATTAGGGGCAACCATGCCTCGGTACACTGACTGTCTGAAGACCGGAGAAAAGTCATTCATGTCCTGGAGAGAGATAAACACAAACACACACACACACACACACACACACACACACAGTAGTACGGCATTAGCATTGTAAACATACAGTACCCCAAGCTGTTTTTGTTTTCCACTAAGCGCCTGGAATTCTAGACATGTTTAACATTTATGATATGCAAGCTGACTTTGTAGGCATGTTAATTTTTGCTTTTACTTCGATTCTTACATTTTACTTAATTCTCATTTTTTCTCTCTCTCTGCAGTCCTCACAATTACTCACAAAAGTGGATTCATGGGGAACATCTGACCTGCACAAGGGATAAAATGCAGCAGCCACCGTATAGCCGATTACCTAATGCTAATGCAAATATATAAGTTCTTTTAAAGTTTTGGTTAGCACTAGAAACAGCAGCGAGTTTAAAAGTGAGGACACCACAAAAAAAGGGTTTTTGATTTTCCCACAAGCTGGCTAAATTATGTACTGTCAAACTGAGACAGACGAAAAACGATATGTAAACAAAGATGGTATGAAAAGTACAGAAAATGGCAGCTTATTGCAATAACTATAACTCTCAAGTGTCGGATGTCAGAGATTCCCCGACAAGAGGTGAACGTACCATAGCTTTTGTGCAAATACTGTCAAAGTGCAAATGCATGTAAAAACACGGGTGTGGTAATGAATGAAACAGTGAACACTTTCTCTGTAGCCTAGCAGCATCAGAGGGAGGGAAAAAACAAAGCACAAGGACAGTATGGAGCTCCAGCACACTAATATGTCTGGCTTTAATTACAAATACCAGTCTGCAGTAGTCCGATGTCAGTCATATTTTATTTTTTTTTAAAAACATGCTTGCCAGTTGGCAACAACACAGTATATTATAACATTATACTGAGTGCAAAACGTACATGGTGACATAGCTACTTACAAGTGTCAACACTGTAATTTCTCGCTGACAATGAACTATAATTTGTTTGAATGCCTGACAGTGAAAAACCCACTGGAAGTGAAAAGAATTGTACAATACTACCGGCTCCACTTCTTGCTCATCACACTTGCAAGCTAGGGAATAGATTGCTTGTTAGCAAACACTGTGTAAATAAGCAACTTCTGATTTTCTCCAGCACTTTATTTGACTTTGTGCCAAGCAGCACTTTGCTTTTGTTTGTATCTTTGATCTTGGAGGCAAAGGACATACAAATGAGGGATTCCAGACACTGCAAAAAACATTTTCTCCTCTCATCTTTTTCCTACATCTTATAAAGGCTAAACTATTTAACCTGGTTACATTCTTTTCAATTCTTTTCAAATAACTGGTCAAATTGGAAATGGCTTTCTATGCCACAGTGCAAATTTCCACGGGTCTTTAATATAATGCTTTACCACAAAGAAACACATTGACCTTGCTTATCTTTCTATACTTCTTCCACACACTCACCATGATTCTGACAGTAACAGAGGCTAGTCCAGGAGGCATGGTTCCCTCTGTGTCCATGGCCTCAACAGTGAATGTGTATGTGGGTTCTGAGTCAGTCAGAGCCTCGTAGTCCAGAATTTTGAGAACTGACAACTTTCCTGTCACAGGGTCGATGTGGAATAGTTGAACAATGTTTTGGTCCAAGCCTTCAGTTCTGATTCGATATGTGATGTTGGAGCCGAGGTCAGCATCTATCGCCTACAGACAAAAAGAGAGTCAGAAAATGGGGAACAAAGTAATATCACTGCCTTGTGAATTTTTTGGCAAGTTAAACTTTTCATATTTGCCAGAGGGACAAGCATCTACATGTGCTGGAGCTAGAAGCAGACAGTAGTATTTTCATTAAGTCTGGTATAAACCAGCCCAACACAGAGACATGTCTGAAATGCTTGTGGTAGTAACATATATAGTCCAGCAGGTGATGTCTTATTTTTACTTCTGTACTATTTTACTGTACATTCACTTGTGTCATCAAGTGTTGTCATATTATAATATATTATTATATATACTATTAATAAAAATCTGACTTTTAAGTCATCTCTAGTGGCCAAGCAGCATTCTGACGGCGTTAAAATAGATGAGACCAGAGAAGAGGAACTATCTAACATGGGTTGAGTGTATTAGTGTGTGCAGGTTTGCTTATGTTGCACGTTATGACTAAAAAGACATTTTCCCCAAAAAGAAATTTGGGGTTTAGAGGCAAATGTGGAAAATAATTGCTTCACACCTGTTCTTATGGCTACCAGAAAGAAAACTGTATGTGTGTCATGTTACAAGAATGAATAGTCAGGACTTTGCATACCAACATTAGTAAGGAAGATTATTGAATTTAAAATTAAACTAATTTGTCCATGTGAAAGAAGACGAAAATGTAACTAAATATTTTTTCCTACACAACTAACGTATGACAATGAAGATGTCTTGTTTAATCCAAATTCACGACTTGCAGCACTTTTATTGAGCTAAATTCAAGGTCTCAGTTTTAGCCTGCAGGAAACTTTATTCAAACTAGTTGAAAGTGTGGTATTAACTTATAATATTAATCTTGTTTTACCTGATTTTGTACTAAGGTGTAGGTAAATATTGTTTGTTGACAATGAAACTTTGTTAAGGATGTAACATTACCATAGTAGCTGTTAGTAAGTGTACTGTGGTGTCCACAGTACATATACTATTGGTACTGACAATATAGTAGATGAAATTCTGTTTATTGATGGTTTGCCTTGGCTTTTGTTTTTCTTTGCCAGGATACATGCACTTGCCCTTCCTTGAACCAGTACTAAGCTAGATCTTACTTCATAATGTAAAAACGGGGCATGAGGAAATAACTGTGTATAATATAATAGAAAGTTGCAACCTAAATTTAATAACATGTGTATAATACAAAATATAAATATTCTGAACCCCTCCCACCTGTTGTGTATAATGTCCTAACTGGGTAAATTATGTCCTGGTTATCACATTAATGGCAATTAAAACATTAACCATTAAACATTTAATGTGATTTGGTTGACTGATGAAAATAAGACAATTCAATAACAATATATCATAAGAATCCGATATGAATTTTTTACACACATACATAAGTGGAGGATCCTTTAAAAACATTTTTTAAAGAATTGTGATCAACATTTGTGCTAATAAAGACATGTTTCAGTCAAAAAAAAAAGTACTTTCAGATCAGAGTTAGTTCTCTCTGATGGACAAATTTGGAATTTTTTGTTACTTATCAGCTGATACAGATATGACCCGCATCAAGCTAACAGCAGCCAATGCATCAGCCGAGATGCTGTAGTTCTAGTGTTTAGTAAGTTCTAGGTCGCATTTACATATCTCAGCTTTGCCAGACAGCTTTTACTGTACAGCATAACAATTTGCTATTAACTACCAGAATTAATACAAAATGTACTACTACATTAGTTGCAAATGGACTAATCTGGTAATCCACTCACTCACCTTTAACTGTAATATGACTGTATCTTTGGGGCTGTTCTCTGGTAGGCTGACATTGTAAGTTTGTTGGGTGAATATCGGGCTGTTGTCGTCTACATCCAGAACGGTAACAGACAGTGTTAATCTGGATCGCCGAGGGTCCACTGCACCATCCCAGGCTTCAACGATCAGAAAGTAGTGACCTTTCACCTTTGAGATGACAGAGAATGACGGTCAAACGTCAACACTACAGCTATGAAAAATATTTATTCAGTCACCTTTGCCACCGTTTACCGCTGGCTTTTTTTGTACTGCATTCAGCTACTATTACATTAATTTGAGATCTTAACATAGCTATTGATTCCTCTGACCTCTCTATCCAGTGGCACCGCAGTTGTGATCGCTCCGGTAGCATTGATGGAAAACAGCTTCTGGTGGTTGACGAGCCGATAATGGACCTGACCACTTGGTCCCAGATCTGGATCTGTAGCCTAAACACAGACACACAGAAATAACACATGTGCACCGAAGCAATAAGAAAGACTAAAGGATTAAATCATCCATTTTAAAATGCATGCAATTCATCAGACTGCCTTTGAGGCATATCATTCTTTAACTGAAGTGAATTTCCTCTCAAATCAAGCTAAATGTGTGTAAAGTATGTGTGTATGTCTGTGAATGTGTGCAGGTGGTAAAATTCTTTATTCAATCTTGTTAGCATTTACAAAGCCTTTCTTCTGGAATAAAGAAAAAATATTGTCAAGTGGATGAGTCGATGCGCCTGGTGTCTGTGTGTGAGCGGGAAATACTGGGGAATGTCATCTCTTCTCTTTTTCAAGTCGTCTCCTCCCTTACGGTTTCATATAATTTGCTTTTGTCAAATTGGTGTGCATCCACAAATCATTTGTATTAGCTCTGACCTTCTGACCTTGTACTTCTAACCCAACACTATTTTATACACCTCAGCAAAAAGAGGTCATAGTTAGTAATATGTACATTCTTTTTCTCTTCCTTCCCTCCTTTTTTCACGTTATTACTCCTGTCTGTAGGTTTAACACAAGAATTCAAACTATTTAGGTATAGCTTTGACAAAGTGACCAAGACAGAGCTTCGTGATCTCCTCTCTCACTGTCTCACATTTCACCTGGAGTCAGCTCTCATTTCTCCTTTTTTCCCCTTCATCGCAACTCGCCCAGAGGAATTAAACTTACTTTCTACCAGTAGCAAGTGTTAAACTTTTTCAGAGTTAATGAATCAGTGGTTTAAATTTTCACTTGGAACTAGAAGCCAGAGTGTCTTCTTTCCTTTGTTGCCTTCCTTCTTCTGACAGTCTGTCTGAATCCATGGACTACAGTCAAACTCTGACGCCATCGCCACGATCATCTCTTTCAACTAATAAAATAAGGTGTTGAGAAGGTGACAAATTTCTAGGCGGTGTTCCTTTCACCCTGCCTGACTATTCATCCTGTCCAATCAGCATTCTGACAGCATTAAAATAGATGAGACCAGAGCAGAGCAGTGCATAACAGAGGAACTATTAACATGGGTTGTGTGAGTGTGTTAGTGTGTGCAGAGCTGAGGTTTGCTTATGTTGCACTTTATGCCTAAAAAGACATTTTCCCCAAAAGAAAAGCAAGTGTTAAAAATAATTGCTTCACACCTGTTCCACAAAGAAAACTGTATGTGTGTGTTTAATGTTATAAGATTGAGAAGTCATTAAATTGCATAACAACATTAGTAAGGAAGATTATTTTTTAAGTTGATTAAATGTTAAATGACTTGTAATTAAAGATGACCCTTAGGTATTTGGATACATTATATTTCAGTTTTTCAGTGTTTTGTCAGCAAAAATCATGACGATAAATTCTCTTTGAAGATATTAGACAGCTCTGACTGACTTTCCTTAAGCACAGCGGTGCTTTGAGCTAAATGCTAAACAACAGCTAATGTTTAGCAAGTGAACTTTACAGCGTTAATCAATTTTAGTGTAGAATGTTAGCATCCCAGCATTTATCGAATTGGACTAAACATTAAGAGCAGCTGAGGCTGATGGGAATTAGCTTTCCAGGCATTTGATCATTAATTAAAGCTTGCATTTGCCCTGATGATGGTGCTAGGTGAAAATGAAGGGATTACCAAAGTTATTAGGATTCATTATCTGGGGATTGTGAATGTTTAGTCAAAATGTCATGGCTATCTGTCCAATATTTGCCAAGGTTTTTCACAAGTGGTGAAATGACTGCCTTACTGGCAATGAGAACATGAGATGTGGTTTAGGGTACACAAAAAGTTAGTAAGTGGACCTTTGAGTTTGATTTGTTTGCCAAACAAATGTATAATGACTTGCAGAATCAATGTCATATAATATATGTAGGCTGTAATTTTCACATACGGTTTCTTTATATAACTTGTAACTTTAGCAGCAGTGTCAAAATTGACAGTTTAATATGTTTATCTAACCCCCATGACTCACATCATTTCTATATTCCATTTTATTTGCTGTACTGTGTCACTTCTTGCTGTTGCAGTGACCCATTTTTTCTTGTTTTGGATCATTAAAGTTTCATCTTATCTCACACAGTGACTATTAGGATTAATAGAACCTAGGGTCTGTTTTGTGTGTATGTAGAGTGTAAGAGAGAAGAATTAAGTCCTCTTGGAGCGATTTGTATTCAGTGATTCATCAATATCTGGGTATAAAACTATTATGCATTTAATGGCACATCTAGCTTTTGGGTGATTATTTTGGGTTGTGGGGACAGAGACAGGATGAGACATGGACAATGAGAGGGAGAGAGTGGGAAAGGGGGAGGGAAAATAAGAGAAAGTGAGAAAGAAAAGAAGAGGGGGCTAAGAGATAAGAGATACATTTAGTGCAGACATTGTTTGAACATGCTGTGTACGTTTCTTCTGACATAAAAGAGGAGAAGTGGATGTACAAGGCACAAGGTACAAGGTAAATGTATTTGTCATTTTAAAACAGGGTTGTATAATGAGATGGAGTTTGTAGCTCCCTTTACGCTACTCACAAAGCAAACGTTACATACAAAAATTATAAAATTATATACAGAAATAAACTGTTTTGCATGGAGCAGTGCTGAGGACTGCACCATGCTGTGAACAGTCTCACAGCCTGGGGGAAGAAGCTGCTCCATAGCCTGGTGGTGCGACAGCAGATACTTTCTGTAATGTGTTTGTTTCTTATATTTCTTCAGCAACATCCATACAAAGCAGCGATGTAACACTTATTCGCTCATTGACGGAGAGTTAGATGAGAAGATTGATACCACTCTCATGACTGGACACTAAATATGAAAAATATAGCGCTTTGATATCAGTCAACTGAACTGAAAACAGAAAATATAAAATATAAATAATTATGAAAAGGGCAGATGTTTGATATATGACAGGGAACATTACTGACCATAAACATTCATTCAAGCTGCCTACAGTATAGCTGTCATAGCACTGCAAACTGTATTAAGTCCTTTAGATACTAGGCTGGATTAATCGTCTTGATGTCAAGCATATTGATGTCTGCAGTTCCTGGAGTTAGGTACTGTAGAATGTGTTTGTTCATGTGTGACTTTCTCTCTGCCTCTATCCTTCCTCTTCTATTATCTCCTTCTCTTGTGTCTTTTTCCTCCCTCACTGTCTTTCTCACAGTTCTCTCAGCATAATTACATTGCCAGACAGTTAAAAGCCAGAAACACAATAGGATTAATGTCTCAGCAGTGTTACGTCTGCTGCTTTTCAACACACACTGACACAAAAAAAGTAGCTTAAGGCCTGAAATATATACTCTATCTCTACAATCGCTGGCTCTGTCTTTTGTGTTTGGTGTTCATACCTTTTTTCTTACAATTTCCCAATTTTTTCTTTTCTATTTTCATCACTTCCTCACCTCCACCTCTAATTTCATTCCTGGATACACAGAGAGAAGTACCTGCAACTGAAACTAAATTACTGAGATTTTTTTTTCCTTCTGTCTCCGAACACATTTCTTTTGCTGCACCAATAAATCACATAGTCAGGTATTATACAGTAACAGTATTGGACTCTTTTCTCAGTAAGTTATGCATACATTGTGTGGTACACTGATATAGAGGACCAGCTGTTGTAAATGCTGATATGTTGATATAAAGACAAGAAAACACCATGCATTCCATACCCTTTTTTTTCTCTTGTTTTTGAAATCAAAGCCGGGCTTCCTCACAATAATGGTGATTTAAGATGTACAAAATCAGAATGGATTTTTTGTGTGTTTTTTTAATGAAAATATGTTGTTAGTATGAAGAGAAAAAGTACAGAGAGAGATTAATAAAGTCTACATTTTTTCCCTTCAAAGATCTGTTTCTTGTGAAACAATTTAAAGCCATTTACAAAGATACAATACAATATTTACAGCTAATCTTACCCAAGGCATTTTTGTGCAGAGTATGGCCACTGACATTACATGTAGAGAGTAAACAACCACGCTGTAGGGACAGGCAATTGTGCTAACAACTGCAGCAGGTGATTTCACTGATTCATTCCCCTGTCTGTGTTTGAAAGTGGGGAAATCAGCAAAATCATCTGTTGTGTTGTCTCTCCCGGCCCTAAAGGAGGCATGGCTGATGTGAAGGGATAAACCAAACTGTAAAGTGTGTGAGAGTTTTTGTATTTGAGATTCACTCTTTCTTTGACAACTCTTTCCCATCAGGTGAAGTATTCCTGATTCTGAGGTACATTTTGTGCTTCACCTGGGCTTCATTTCAACGGTTTGGTGAAGCGTCACATTGTATAATGTACTTTTCTGCAGGAGGAACACACATATATAAATAAACACATCAAAATGACACATGACCCATAAGATTATCACCTACACTAAGTCCATTTAAATGTATTTGTACCTGTGTTGGGTTAGTTGGAGCAGTGATTCCCAAATCTGGGGTTAGGACCCTCCAAGGGGTGATATGATAAATTAAGAGGTTATTTTTTTCAGGCTCACCACTTATTGTTGATTTTTTTTTTTTTGGGTAAATGAATGGATAATTTTACCTCCCCTGGCCTCTAAGCAGTGATCATCTCACAATTTTAGGTTGTCACAAGGCAAGAAGATTGGAAAAAAAATGAACCAACTACTGTAAAGGGTGATGTGTTTTTTTTATGTGCTTCCTTTAATTAATGGTGACTTTCTAGGATGTACAAATCAATTTTTGTATGTGTATTTCTGGTGAAATGGAAACATGGTTTGCCACACTATTAGTATGAAGAGAAACTGTACGAAAGAGAAATCAATATGGTCTACACTTCATGAAGTCTTTCCCTTCAAAGAACTCTTATGAAAGAACCACGCTGTAGGGACAGGTAATCATGTCATGAAGGACGAGCAGTTATTCCTGCTAACAACTGCAGCAGGTGATTTCACTGATTCATTCCCCTCTCTGTGGTTGAAGGTGTGGAAATCAGAAAAATAATCTTGTGCTGTGTTGTCTCTCCCTGCCCTAAAGGACTGATGGCTGCCAGAGAAGGACTGTACACTGAGGAAGAGGTACTTTGGGAGGCAGCGAGCTTGATTTAAGTTATATGTTTGATTTTGAAGCCAAACACCATGTAATACCCTGCTGAATCAGAAAAAGATGGACATCAAGAGGAAGTGGTATCGCAGCTCCTTTGTCTGTCTATTGTTTCCCCAGCATCACTGTCAACATTACAGTAAAAGAAACAATTTAATCACTTTAGACGTTTTTTTCTTATATGTTATCTGCCACCATTTAATGCAAATGAAGCAGGTTCTGTATTTTAATAATCTGTTCAAATGCCAAAACAAAATCAGAACCAATAACTGGCATTAGATAGGTGACACCACATCTTGTAGCAGGTTGTAATCAAGCAAATCAGTTAATAAACAGAAGAAAAATAAATCAATGCTACATTTGTTCTGATCTATTTAACAGTGCATGCATTTATTTATTCTGTCTTTGATGATCACATGACCTTTCTCTGAATTCAACCCGTCATTCCTTTTTAAAGTGTATTTTCTGCCTCTTTAAAATAGAAACCATGTCTTAAACTCATGAAAGTCAGATTGAGAATGCATTCATAGTCCCTCAGCTGTCGTCTTCCCTCTTACCTTTCCCCAGCGTCTTTCTCCTATTTCTCTCTGCCACCCATGCATGTCTCACTTCCTCCCCTTTTTCCACCTACCAGCATCAGCAAGCCAAGGTCAGCTTCATTCATTCTTCCGGAAATTTCTTTAATACCTACAGGTAGGGACCCTGGTTTGGAACGAGGCCCAGAGTCGTGCCTTGCACAGCCCGCTGAGAGATCACACTGTCTGTTTTGGTTTGGAAAATGTCCAAGGGTCCTCCAAAGGGAGGAAGTTCAGGATTGGAATACTTTCAAATACCCTCTCTAAAGATTAGGGTGGGTTTTTGGATGTTGAATTTGGAACATGCCCAAAGGCCTGAGCTAGTGTTAAAATTTGAAATTCTTGGAATGAAATGTCTTCTTTAAGGATAAGGTTGAGTTTACACGTTTGGGATAGTACCCAGTTGTTCAAATAAGAAAAGGTATTCAACTTTTAAGCTTAGATCCTGTTAAAAGTAAGACCAGTTCAAAATCCTAGACGTGGGTGTACAGGGCAGGGAGCATATTTTTGAGTAGTTCTGGTGTTCAACCAAAGAAGCATGATTAACATTTAGAACCTTGCAAAGTGTCAGACTTATCAAAGACCCCCTGACACTGGTGTATAAAGGCTATGAATTAAGCTTGGAGAATCCAACTAAGGGAGCATCTTTAAAGATCAGAGCCTATCAAAGTGTCAGATTTACCCATGACCCCTGTCTAGGAAATACACGAGTCGGTTATTAGGTCTGGAACAGGTCCAGGAGTCTTTGCGGTAAGTGTAGATGAGGGTGCTGATGAGGGTGAAAATGCATCCCACAGTGCCAAAATCATGTTACCTTTATCCCCTTGACGCCTGAAATTATTTACAATTATATAAGAAAATGTATTATTTTCATTTTCATTTGCTTTCAAGCTGATGCTAAATTAATTGGGGATTGTTAATTTGTCTATAGAACATAGAATAGATTTAAATTCAGGTATGATGTAAGTATGATGCAAATTAGCGACAACAGGCATAAACAAGAAACCAGGGCTTGCAAAAGGTTCCTAGGTACACAAACAGGTGTTGGGGGAATACATATGCTATCTCGGCTGCAGTCTGAATGGAATCTGTGAGATGCAAATTTGCGGTAATCAGCGTTAAGGGGTTAAATATGCAACATATTTCTTATCTCTTTTTTTACATTATTGCATATTAGTTTCAAACTTAGACTTATTTATTTTTGCAATATACAGTTGACACAGTTGATAGTTATTTTTGAATTTACAGTTAAATTGTGGGAATTGATATCAAGGTAACCAAAAATTCTTATCAAGTTGTTCTGTCGCCTTGCAGGGATTTTTCCTGGCGAAAATTCACCAAACCTCAAGAACACTGCCACGCGACTGTTGAAACCAACCGCCACAAAGTCCAACCTCGAAATGCCATGATTTCAATATACACTCACCGGCCACTTTATTAGGTACACCTGTTCAGTTGCTTGTTAACACAAATAGCTAATCAGTCAATCACATGGCAGCAACTCAATGCATTTAGGGATGTAGATGTGGTCAAGACAACAAGTTCAAACCGAGCATCAGAATGGGGAGGAAAGGGGATTTAAGTGACTTTGAATGTGGCATGGTTGTTGGTGCCAGGCGCACAACCATCTCTAGGGTTTACAGAGAATGGTCCGAAAAAGAGAAAATATCCAGTGAGCGTCAGTTGTGTGGACAAAAATGCCTTGTTGATGTCAGAGGTCAGAGGAGAATGGGCAGACTGGTTCGAGATGGCAGAAAGGCAACAGTAACTCAAATAACCCCTCGTTACAACCAAGGTCTGCAGAATACCATCTCTGAACGCACAACACGTCGAACCTTGAAGCAGATGGGCTACAACAGCAGAAGACGACACCGGGTGCCACTCCTGTCAGCTAAGAACAGGAAACTGGGGCTACAATTCACACAGGATCACAAAAACTGGACAATAGAAGATAAGAAAACGTTTCCTAGTCTGATGGGTCTCGATTTCAGCTGCAACATTCACATGGTTGGGCCAGAATTTGGCGTAAACAACATGAAAGCATGGATCCATCCTGCCTTGTATCAAAAGTTCATGACAATGATACTCCAATGGCCTCCACAGTCACCAGATCTCAATCCATTAGAGCACCTTTTGGATGTGGTGGAACGGGAGATTCGCATCATGGATGTACAGCCGTCAAATCTGCAGCAACTGTGTGATGCTATTATGTCAATATGGACCATAGCCTCTGAGGAATGTTTCCAAACCCTTGTTGAAAGTATGCCACGAACAATTAAGGCAAAAGTTTTGAAGGCAAAAGGAGGTCCAATTTGGAACTAGCAAGGTGTAAGTGAACTACCTTTTCAGCTGCAGCAGTTTATTTAACTTGCTTTACATGCTAACGTGGCTGCTTACAGTTCTCCAAAAAAACAGATGATTTGGTAATTGTTGATATTTTATTTTTTTAAATTGTTGTTCTATTAAAAAATATAAGAATCTAATCTTAGGAATAACCTCAAAAATGAGTATAAACCTCATTTTATAATAAATAATATTCAGTTAAGGGAGTGATACATTTCCAGGAAGAAATATTATGAATAAGGAGAAACTATTCAACCCTGAGATACTGTCCTCACAGGGCAAAAGGGGACAGACACACACCATTCAATCAAATCCTTGTATCCCATCCACCTAAAAATATGGTTACGCATATGTACGCATATTTGTTCACTCAGTCCTCTGAGAATAATAACATAAAGTCCTAATTACAAAGCAACCAAGGTTTACAGAGTTATGTTAGCGACCTCTGCTCCCCATTGTAAAGATTATTAGGGAATTTAATTAGAGCCTCTGTGAATATTTGTGTGCTGCGTGTGTGGAAAGAGAGCGCAGAGGGGAAGACAACGAAATGTGTATAAGTCTTAAAGGCACCTTTGTGGTTTAAGTACTTATGTGTCTTTCTCTCAAGGTAGTGAGTGACCTTATGTTAGGATGACTGAAACGAAACTTAAAGTGAGACATGATATGATCTGTGCCACAATAACAAAAAGAGTTGTGTAACTAGTTTCAAGCACGCCGATCTACACCCCTAGAGAAATAACAGACATTGCAGATTATACTGCAGTGAAAAGGTGGGAGAGCATGTGAAATGACAGATGTGCGGTCAGGAATTATTGATACATTGAGTTAATTGAAATTGGCTTTTTTGTTCATGACACATCATTTTAACAAAGGATTAGTGCAGGAAAAAGCACACACAAAGCTCACAAACAAATGCAGAGTCATGAATGTGTATAATGAAGACATTAGCATACAGACACACACTCAAACAAACATGTTGTGCTCATACATGTGCACAGACAGGACATCAAAAATTAAAATCACCTAAAATTATTTAGTGAGTAGTACAGGGGTAGGAAAGAGGGAAGCATGTGTGCACTTGGTGCTTCTCTGGGCATGAATGTACGCGTGTGTATGAGTGTGTGTGCATCTTCCTACCTTGACCTGTCCAACGTAGGCGTGATCCTGCTCCTCTGTGACAGTGAGGTTCACTGGCAGTGAAGAATTGAACAGCGGGTCGTTGTCATTAACATCTGTCACCACAATGTTCACCGTCGCAGTGGAGGTCTACACACACACAAAAACACACGTACACACAAATGTGTGTTACTATTCTGGTCAGTTCAGAAAACTGAAGCAGCATTTTGTATTCCATTGAACATGTTTGACTAGCATCAGAAAGTTTTGCTCTTCATGTGACGGATTATCAGAGTGCAAAGGATGAATCCATCCTCAGGTTTTATTTTACAAAGTCTATTTTTCCCTCTCACCAACAGCTCCCTTATGTAACAAACTAAAGAGCCCACTTTGCTTTGCTAATTAGCTGCACTCTGGTCGTCCTGGCTGTCCCATCTAATTGTGCAGTTGAAGTTTTCAACTGTTAACCATTTTTAAAAGACAGCTTCAGAGGCAATTTAACTGGCAGACAGGTGGCGCTGCAAATTCAAACATGATAACCAATCAAAAGCGGCTTGAGGCTGAGACAGCTGAGGCTGGTAATGGCAAAGGAAGAGATTGTGCACATAAAATAATCCAACAAAATGAACATTATTCAACATTGAACATATAGCCAGGCTTTTTACAGAAAAATTTCAGATAGAACTCCCAATGTACTCATGAACACTAAGTAACTGTAATTTAATTACACATTTTCCCAGTAACTGTAACAGATTACAGTTACATTTATTTTGTAATTAAATTAGGTGACTAAATTACATGTAACTAGAGATTTCTCTTCTCACTGAATACGTGCAAGCGCATATTCCTGGTGGCTTACTTTAAACGGTGTATTTCGGCCTCGCAGACAGATCATATGCTGCCATGTTAATTCTCCCAGTTGTAAAATCCTGTCTCACAGTATTATAACCCGCTGTGCAGATCTGTTCTCAGATAAGCCTTCAAACTCATATATCTAGTACTCAAACGTCCTGGGTCGTGCTTTCTCAACACACCCTTGCATTGTTTAAACGCAGGACTGTTTTCTGTTTGAACCCTCACTCAGAATGTGAAATGTCTAAGGGACACAAAACATCAATAACATCACAGAATTGATGCCACTTCTAAACAATCTTATGGCAGCCCTCTGGGAACAGACAGCAGAGTTGGTTTAATTAGCTTAACACACCACATGCTATTGTTTTGTTGGCAAAAGTCGGATGGATAGACATGAGATGAGAGTTAATTGTGAGGAAGCTCAAAACGGCTCAACAGTTTTGTAAACACAGTAAAGAATTGTTGTGGATAAACCATAGAAGGATATATACTGTCAACTCAAAAATAAAAATACACACTGATCACCTGACTCATTTAAGTATGCTGTGAAAGTTTGGAGGGATTCATAAAAAATCTAGTTTTACAATAAATCACACTAATTCTCACTGTTACGCACCCAACAGCAAAAAGCACGAAAAATGTTTCCAAGTAAGAAGAGCAGGAAAGAGAAAGAAGCTGATGAGGTCACCTCTAATTCAATTCTTAATTTGACTTTCATGAGAGCAGAAGACTGAGCGTGAGAGCGAGAGGATTTGACTTTTAAAGAAGGAAACTGGGAGGAGGTGGAAAAAGAAGGAAAGCTAACCGATTCACAACAGTGGGATGATGAAAAGAAAATAGGCAGCGTGTGGGGATGTGTGTGGGAGAGTGACAATCACAGAGGTGACAACAGGCTGTTGAGGTTGGCAGGACACGTGGTGATGCAAGTAAATTTGAGGTTAAGAGCTCACAGTTGACAAAACAGTTTATCCAAATGCTGATGTACTGTATGTAAAGTAGAATTAGCTTGGATAAAATAAAAAGGCAGGCTGTGAGCAACACTGGCAAACACAGTCAGACAAAGAGAGTGACAGAGATGCAGTAAGCTCCATTTTGCATCATGGGGCTCTAAGCACATCATTTTTCGATAACTGCACACCTCAGAGTTCATTATCATGCTGCTTTTATGGCCACGTACCAAAGTTCACCATCTACTACCATAGGAAACACCATATTTTGAAGGTTTCAGCTGTATACCCTCGCAAGCATTGCACATGGATTATGTCACAACAAGGTGTTCTTTTTGAAAATGACCAATATGACTGAAATATGAGAATCCAATCAATCAATACACAATACGTGTTCATAGTGTTTTAAACCTCACCTTAAGAGAGCTGTTCAGCTATGTTTTTATTAGTTGAGAAATATAGCCAAGGTTAAGTCTTATATTTTAGCCACAGACCTGGACAAATTCATCCATGTTTTTATCTCCTCCCGCCTCATCTACTGCAACTCCCTATAAACCTGTCTCGGACAGAAATCAATTCACTGCTTACCATTAACCACCAGTCCAAAATGCTGCAGCTCAACTTTTAACCCATCGCAAAATAATTTGACCATATCACCCCAGTTTTAGCATCCTTTCAGTGGCTGCCTGTTTCTTTTAGCATTGATTTTAAAACTCTTTTAATTACTTTTAAGGCCAAGCGTTGGCTGGCCCCCCTCATATATCTCCGAGCTTATAATCCCCTATCAGCCAGGACGCAGACTGAGATCCCCTGGTGGAGCACTGCTAGCCACCACTAGGTCTAAAAACTAAAGGAGAAGGGGCGTTTGCTGTCAGGGTCCCTATACTCTGGAACAAGGAGTTCAGGCTCGTAGAGTCCGTTCCCGATTTTATCTCACTTCCTAAGACACATTTTTACAAAAAAAGCTTTTACTGTGTGATGACAATTCTTAGTATTAGCTCTTATTTTATCTTAACTCATGTATTACATCAACTGTAAAGCACTTTGTTACCTGTATTGGAAAGTGCTTTACAAATAAAGTTATTAGTATTATTAGTAGTATTGTCAGGTGACTTGTACTAGCAGTCTGTGAAAGTTGAAAGTACTATGGGTGGTGAAGCGTTAAAAACTGAGCTGTGGATTTGCCCCTTGTGAGTAAAAAGTGATTTTGGCCTGTTATTTTTTTTTATGCAAGTGTACAGCATAAACAGTTACTCTGCTGATCTGCTCATCATGACAATGCCGCTTGTTGCCACAGCTCCCTCTACCGCTCCCCCACAAGTGCATTTTTTTCCTTCTATTTGAGAAACGTTTATTAAAAACTGCAGTGTCCAGCGTTCTTAGGAACTTACTTTAGCTTTTTCCAAAAATTTTATTATATATATTAAATGATATATTTGTGACCCATTTTTAAATAGTTTTGTCTTCATAAGAAATGAACGGGCTCATGGTCTGAGTGCCACATGCAGCAGAGATGTTGGAATGTATTGTAAGAAGAATTGTTGGTTTTTGGTATTTTCATGGGATTAGTTCACATCAGCAGCCTTATTCTTTAAGCTAGTGAATAAAGTCATTTTTAACTTCATCAACATTGCTACAGCAGTACCGATTCAAACAATATTTAATGGCGGAAACTGCTGATTCACACACCCATGCCATGATACAGTGCTATACAGTCTATTTGACAACAGCACACCATCCTGCACCAAAGTTTAAGTTGCATCCTGTGATGCCCAGTGTCCTTACAGTGAAGCTGGTTTACTGCACTAGCGTGTAGGGTTCTCAATCTGTGGCAGTATGATGGATTCACTGGCCAAATAGCCAATTAGGCACTTGGTAGTCTGACACTCTCACAACGGGACATTTAATAATAGGGGACACAGACGGTTGTGTGCGTGTGTGTGTGAGTGTGCATGCACGCATATGAAGACAACCCAAGGCCTTTCGAGTGATGCTGATTAATGGGCCTACACCCCAATCTTCTCTTCTCCTTTTTCCATTTCTTTCTTTCCTTGTCTTCCCTTCTGTCTCTCTGTTTAGCTCTATACCATTATTCTTTCACACACACCTTCTCTCTCTCTCTCTCTCTCTCTCTCTCAATCCACACTCCTTTTTTCCTACATTCGTACAAAATATAATGGAGTGTCAAGCAGAAAAATGTCCAAACTACTTTTAGCCATTTTCTGATTTAAAGACCTTTGGGGCATAAAGATAATACACTAATTGTCAAGGTCCAGAGAGCAATTGACGAAGTATATGTGTGCATGTCTGTGAGTGTGTATGTGTCAAGACTCCCATATAGAAGTGTATGAACACACAGTACAATTGTTAAGGTTATAAGAGCCCCCTGAACACCTCTCACATCTCTCTCCCTTCCTTGCTCTCTCCAGCTTCCTCCCACTTGTTCTCTCCCATCATGCTGTGTGCGAGGGTGTGTGTGAGAGAAGGTCAGAGTATTCAAATCAGCGTTTTCTCTCCTCAGAGGGACCTTAAACTTTGCCTTTTGTTTTAATTGACATGAGGGGGAGAGGGGGTCAGTGAGGAGGATGATGAGTAGAGGAGGGAGGGAGGAGAGACAAACTTCTTGTAAAGCAAGACTAATAGATGGAGGATGAGGGAGAGAGCAGAAGAGAAGCAAGAAAGGGAAACTGATGAAGGCCAGATGAGTAGAGAAGAAGGGATAAGAGGGGAGAGGGAGGGCAAGGGGGCTCCATCCACTGTCTTCATTTGACTTTCCTGTGAGAGCGACTGAAGATTTGAATTTTAAAAAAGGACAGAAGAGAAGAAGACAAACAGAGAGACATAGAGAAAGTGATTGGTGACCTGTGATCAATTAGGTGAAAAAGTGAGGAGGGCACACACTCCATTACCTTTGCAAAACAGCTCTTGCAGCAGACTAAGTAAGATGTTTTGTAGCTATTTTGTATATTTACATGTAGACTGCATCCACACTAAGCCAGTTGAATCTAACACAGTTTATGTGTGAAAGCATCAGATTCACAGTAGCATATTCAGGCCGTTCGATTAGCTCAATTAGGAAAAGATTTAAATCTCTTTCAGTTGGAAAATGACACTTATTGCAACAATTTACCACTCTGAGAAAGGACTTGTCACAAATAAAGTGAGTAAAAGGGATCACTGGTTTACAGGATTTTTTGGTTCTTTCACAGTTAGCAAATAAAAAAAGCTGCTGATCACGCTCAGCATCTGTTAAGGAGTTGAATAGACAAAGCCTGGTTACTTTGCAGAGTCCCTCAGCTGGTTTCCATTCTGTCCCTTCTGGGTGTGACAAACGCTGGCTGGGTGTGTACAAAAGGCCAAAACAGAGAGATAAAGACACATTTCTAATTTAGCCAGCTTAATGAAAAGACACATATACATTTTCAAAAATTGCCTCTAATATCCCTTCGCATAATGCCACAGCAGTTGTTTGTGGCATTTCACTGTGAAGGATTTCGCTTCCGTCCCAGCAGCCACCCAGTTCCACTGAGGAAATGAAACAACTAAAAAAGTAAAGACAACCAATTATCTGTGTGGTACAGCTCAGTTTCTTACCTCGCCTGGGTGTCCGTCTGAGGCTGTGACCACCAGGGTATAATAATCCACAGACTCCCTGTCCAGAGGCTTGTCTAGAACCAAATACCCTGAGCTGGAGAAAGAACACACAGAGAGTCATGTTTTTAAGCATGAGCTTAAAAATAGAAAAAAAAATAGAGTGCAATGACCAAACACAGCCGAACAGAATACTGTGGTGTAGTATGCACTGGTTTTCATACCTAAGAATCCTGTGATTTTATGAGGAGCTTCAGTTCATAAGTCACTGACTGCTAACCATGTTGATCATTTTCATGGTGATACTTCCAGCCATTTCTAAATATTTTCTGTGCAAGCTGGAAACAAAATTTAAAAACCCATCTTGTTTTCTCAAAATGTGTATTCCTCTTTATATACAGCACTTTTGCAGACAGTTGTCAAGCACTGATAACCACTGCATAAAAGCCTGAACACCCAGAAGTGTATTTTTACTGTGATTATGGTACTTAGTGATGCAGATAATGCCTTGATGTGTCATTTAAAAAGAACACAAAAATAAGAGTTTATATGCAAAGTACAGTAAGATCTTCTCTGAATCGAAATAGTTACTTACACCTTAAACAGAGGCTGCATTATATTTCACTGGCCAATGAAGATTTGATTTATCTATTGGTTTACTGATAGATAATGCGGAACACTGACATGTACTTTGTAGTGCAAACATATGAGTGATGCAAAGCAAGTACAACGGTGAAAAACCAGTAGCCAGCTCCTTGAATCCATTTTCATTAAGTACTGGGTGTGAATTATTAGTATGGTTCACTAGTTGTACAATCTCAGACTCAAGTTACTCATTGAAAACAGTTCAGTAATCAAAAATATCCAAACAGAAGCAAAGAGTAAAAGTCCAATTTAAAGGCAAATAATTTACTGCATAAGAAAAAATAAGTAGCTCAACAGATCAACAGCTTCAGTGCAGCCTGAGACTTCTGACCAATCAAAACCAGCAGAAATCTTTGATGTTCCTTCATTGACTACATTTTATTTTTTCAAGCAAGATTTACATAATGATTGAAGTGTTTAAAATTTAACCTACTTTAATGAATTAGACACCATCTGAAATGCACATTTTCTCCAAATATTGTGTAGGTGCGTGTGTTTTTGTGTGTGTATTGATATGCAAGTAAATGTATATATGTGTGTGCATGCGGATATTAAGTGGTATACAAAGGGAAAGATGGGAAGCTGTGTTTTTAATGAAAAAAAAAAGAAACTAAAAGATGGTTCATGTATAATTATGGATGATTCATGAAAAGCATAGTCTGTGAATGTACACTTGATTGGGCAGTCACACACACACGTAGACTTATTTTCATGTTTACTGCTCTCAAATCAAACATGTGCTACCACATGTGTAGAGGACCTACAGCAAATCCACTTGTTCAAGATGAACCCAAGAACAAATTTAAATTTATTACAAAATCAACAGTGATTAACCTCCTCAAGGCTCATATCATGCATCCCATTCTGGTGCTGGCCCTTTTATTTCTGCATTAAAGCAATCTGAATCTTTTGGCCATTAGATCCATCATTGCCAGCCACCTTGCAAACTGTGCCAATACCAGATCCGTTCGGGTGCTCTCCAGATGCACTTCAGCAGTATGAGCCAAATTCTACACAAAAGCAACAACAACAACAAAAAAAATCACTTCATCCTGGGCCAATATGAACTGCACCGCATTTTGCACTTGTCCAGAAGATAAAGAACAACTTGGCATGTCCTCATACTGCCACAATGCAGAAAACACAGCTGAGGCACTGAAACAGATTTTTGCCACAAATTGGAACATTTCATAATGTCTGACAGAACCCATCAAATATTCCTAGAATGCAGGAATGAAAGCTCTTCAATTCAATTTAATCTTTGCAGTTACTTTGGCCTCTTCTTTCGTTCTGCTTTTAAGTCCTTATTTGTCTGTCACTCTTGTTCATTGTTTCCTTCCCAGCCCTTTGTAACATTTTGTCCCTCATCTGTTACTTTGTCCGTGCCCTCTTCTCTTATCTTTTCCCCCAACCCTTTACTCTATTTCTCTCTATCTTCACTTCCCCTATCCTTATAATTCTACCCCTTCTCTTGCAGTCTTTACCCATACTTTCCTTTGTTTCTCTCTCTCCTCATCCCTCTAGAAATGTAGATAGGATCTTTCCCCAGCATAAGAAATGCATTTTTGATGATGGAAAAATGAATAAATACAACAAAAGCCCTCAGAGTCTGTATGTGTCTGTGGTGATTATGTGCATGGGGGAGATAGTAAGGGTGTGAAGCCCTCGGCGGAGCTCAAGCCCAGAATGATATAATTTAGACTGCATTCAACCATGCACACACACACACACATACACAAATTATAACTACATACTTGTATATTGCCATGGTTGTATATCATGCACTGATATTCAAACAAATTAATGTACTGCTTTAGTTTCTGATAATAGCAGCTCCACAGTTTGATCAAACATGATGAAATAAGAATTGCATGAGTGTGCACACTTACTTCTGCTGCAGTGCAAAATGTCCATCGTGGTCTCCGCTGTGGATTTTGTAGGTGATGGGGTCCCTCTCCCGATCCACTGCCTGAAGAAGTAAACAAAGACATACACATTCACACACATACTCCTATATATCAGTATATTCTACCCATGGGCTATATGATGTACACAGCAGTAATTTCCAACGGGGGGGTACTTGTACCCTAAGGAAGTACTTCCGCAGTTGCCACAGAGTATGGGAAAAGATTATGGAGGAGCTCAATTAATTTAGAAAAACACAATTTGATTTAAATGATTGTATTGATCGATGAAGTGGTATCTACAGTTCTTTAGTTTGTCTTGTATCTAGTGGAGAAGCACCAGAGTGTGTGTGTGTGTGTGTGTGTGTGTGTGTGTGTATGTGTGTGACAGAGAGAGCATGACTGTACCTGCAGATTAAGCAGTGTAGCTCCAGTTCTCATAGCTTCGCTGATCTCCATGTTGTATTGCTGTCTAGGGAAACGAGGAGGGCTCTGGTTGTTCGGGGGCAAAACTTCAATATAGACCGTAGTGATGGATGACCTAGAGAGAGAGAGAGAGAGAGAGAGTGAAAAAAGGAATGGGGTGAGGCATATAGGGGCAGACGAAGAGAGTAAAAAGACGAAAGAGGAAGAGCCTGTAACAGATTAAGGAGGAATCGTAGCTGAGAAATGTTGGAAAGAGATGAGAGGAGAAAGAGAGGAGGAAGAGGAGAGCTAAAGAGCAGCACAAGAAGATAGTGTGTAAAAAAAAACGGTGTCAGGGAGGGTGAATGGTCTATTATTTAAGTTAAGAGCGGTTGGCTAGTGTTTGTTTCTTTGCACTTCATGCTGTGTTTAACTAATCGATAAGAGCGTGAAGTCAACAACAGTGTGAGTGGCAAAGAGACTAGACAGCGCTCTGCAGAGCTTAAGGTTTCTAATGTGCACTTCGATAAACCTATCTGGCTGTTTCAGTGATTCGTGTAGAAGATGGTGCAGTTTTACTGAGCTAATATTTCATCCATTTTAATAAAAATATGTCTGTTTAGAGTGACACCATCTTGTTAGGGCAGCATTATATCATCCTTGACTGTGCTCTTTATTATGCAGTGTTATGAACCTTATTATGCAGCGTGGCATATTTGAAGACCTTCCGAATATCATCTATTACTTAAAAATGAACCCTGCAGTTGAACACATAAACACTATCATATTAGAATCAATATTATTAAGGGGTTTGTACACATGTCCAGGACCGCATGTGGGAATGAATTGACTGAGTGATTGTGCAGATGACTATTAAATACAATTATAAAACCAGGCAAACTAAACCAACTGCGGATGAAATGTGGTTTCAAAAGGGAATGATGGATGGGGATGGGGTTTAATGTGAATTAAAGGAAAGAAAAAAGAGAATTTCATTGAGCTTCTAATAAGGTGATAACACCAAGAGGCAGTTGAGGTGCTATCTGACATATATTGTTTCACTTAAAATTAAGTCTTAATTACACAGTGTTTACTTCCCCTCTGATAAATAGCCTAGACATAACTTAATAAACATAAAACACACCATAATGACCTTGAGTTGACAGAGCTGTTTATTCCACCGTAAACAGCGCGTGTCCTTCTGTCTGTTTGTCTTTCTGCAAATATTTGATTACCTGGTTCACAGTTTAGAGAACTACAGTTTTTAGCTCTCTGGCAAATGACCGCCTTATATTATTGGGAGATAACAATGCACTAACTGCAAATTAAACTAATACTCAACGGAAAAGAGAAGTGACATCTGCTGTACTAATTATTTTAGATAATTCAGTGTTGAAATTTGATCCTGGACAACTTTAATTGTTCTGAGTGAAAGGTGTACAGGTTTCATGTATGCTAATAAGCTGTAGGATTGCCTGCTGAGGATTGGATCAAATGACATCGACTCCACCTGCTGTCTGGCTGGGCTCGGTGACGATTGGCGCGGCCAGTGCTGGATTCCTCCAATCGAGAGATGGAAATTGACAACAACTGTGGCTAAATACAGTGTTTGTTTGCCACTTTGCACTAATCGGTGTGCCTCACTGTGTCTATGGCTGTTAGAATACTGTTTGCTGAACACGAGTGTGTTATTTTGGAATAATTGATGTTAACCTTGTTTATGAAAATAGGGCCCAGGTTTAGCTTTATACCAATATCGCTACTTCTGTGTAGTTGTTTTGTGCTAGTCTAAGGGTGCTGCTCTCTTTGTGTTTTGGTTTTGAAATTGTTTCTTGTTTTTACTACCTTGCATAGGTTAACTAGCAATCTCTCTCAGTTTTTGGTTATATTGTTTTCATTGGTTTAAGCAGCATCCAATCGGCCCTTTTTCTGTTATAGTTTCCAGCGTGTCAGTTGTTACCCTTTGAATAAATAACTTTTCTTTACCAAATCTGGGCAGGTGCCAAGTCCTGCTGGAAAAAGAAACCAACATCTTCATAAAGCTTGTCAGCAGATGGAAGCATGAAGTGCTGTAAAATCTCCTGGTAGACAGTTGCATTGACTCTGGACTTGATAAAACACAGTGGACCAACACCAGCAGACGACATGGCACCCCAAATCATCACTGACTGTGAAAACTTCACTCCGGACTTCAAGCAACTTGGATTCTGTGCATCTCCACTCGTCCTCCAAACTCTGGGACCTTGATTTCCAAATGAAATGCAAAATTTACTTTAATCTGAAGAGAGATCTTTGGACTACTGAACAACGGTCCAGTTCCTTTTCTCCTTAGCCCAGGTAAGACGGTTCTGACGTTGTCTCTGGTCCAGGACTGGCTTGACACTAAGAATGCGAAACTTGTTGCTCATTTCCTGGACAAGTCGGTGTCACAATCCTTATCTGTGTATCTGTTTGTTTCCCTGTTTTATTTTGAAATGGTCGCTGTAGGGGGTTTGTTGTTTGCTTGGTTTTGGTCTGCCTGTCGGTCTGTTTTGTCCATGTGTCTGTCCTCTGTGTATTTTGATACAGTCTGTTCAGGTGTTCTTGTGTTTTTGTTCCTGTCTGTTCAGGGTTCCAGCTGTGCCTGGTGGCTCTTGGTGCACTGATTCCAGCATCAGTCTACTCCTTATGAAGCTGTGTTTGACAATCCTTTCAAGGCTGCAGTCGTCCCTGTTGCTTATGCACCTTTTCCTACGACACTTTAACCTTCCAGTCAACTTGCCATGAAAATGCTTTGATACAGCACTCTGCGAACAGACAGCCCTTTTAGCAATGACCTTCTGTGGCTTATACCCTCCTTGTGGAGGGTGTTAATGAGTGTCTTCTGGACAACTGTGAAGTCTGACGTCTTGCGCATGATTGTGGTTGTGTGTACTGAACCACAGATTAAAGGCTCTTCTCAGGTTGACAATTCTGCAGTATACATTCTTTATTCTAATATTCTGATATTTTGAGATATAGATTTTAGACTTACATCAAGATTAAAACAAAGCCTGAAATATTTCACTGTATGTGCAATGAATCTAGAATATATCTATATATTAAATTACGGGGAAAAATTTACAATATAATTAATAATTTTCACAATATTCTAATTTTCTGAGATGCACCTATGCTGTATTAGCTTGTTCAAACTCTTCATTGATGCTATATAAAGCTTAAACTGAGTCAAATATTCAGGGCATTATGTTTTTAAAGGCACCAACAGCAATCAAACGGAAATATTCTTATATTCTTATTTCTTTTCATTTCAAAAAACCTATTTTGCCATATTCAGTCTCTTGACTCATCTTAGAAACGTATCTTAGAGTCACCACTTGAGTTTAAAATAAAAGTTCTTTGAGCTTGGACGTTGTACGGCGTGAGTTTACAGTGACTGGCTCAACAGCCAGTGAGGTTTGAATGTACTAAATTATTTACCTTATCAAATTGTTTATTAATAATGTTTCTTAATCAAAGGGTTGGAAAAAGCCCAAGTACACCCGTTTCCCATTTTTGCCCCCACATGAAACAAGTGTTGTTAGGTTTAAGTCACCCTGAATTTCAGGGTAAAATACCGCAGGGATTTAGTTTGTGTTCATACTTGGCGAGAGTGCAGAGTTTCAGCAGGGAGAGAAGGGAGAGATTAACTCCACTCAAACTGGATCATCGACTGTAACAGCCAAAGAACCCCGGGTCTAAACAATAGCCCACAAAATCTGTTTACGTTCACAACAATAAATAAATAAATAGATAAAGGCAGGAGAAATGTAAGCCGCTAGAGAGAGTGAAAGCCAGTGTTTTATTAAAACAATTCAGATGGCATTATTGATGAAAACCGATTGAGGGAGTGGAGATTATTCAGTCATGGTTTCTTCCATAGCTGGGTCCTACTTTCTCTCTTTTTGGCATCCTAAAATTCTGTCTACCAGAGGTAGCAATTCTTTCTTTCTTATTTAATATTCATTATCCATTTCATAGACATGGTTACATATACTGTAACTGTTCCTACTTCTACAGTACACACACAAACCCACACGTGTGTACATACAAACACCAGCTGCACATTAGATTCTTATAGAGTGAATGTGGCAAAAAAGTTGCTTAGTCTTGAACACAACAGACTTGCAATTATGAGCATGTTCTGTCCTCTTCAAACTTCACGTCACCACTCAGCCTTGCTGTACACATAAATAACCTCCTCTTCTCCAGCCATTTAGAGCTATTTGGTGGTCCAGCAAGTCATTATTGGGTTAGATGAGTATTTAGGTGAGTGCACTTTACTGTCCTGTTTATATTTCTCTGAACTCTCAGCATCAAGCTGCTGCTCTTCTAATTAAGACTCCCTGGTCTACATTCAATGATTTTTTACGGTGCTTTTCAGTTGTTCATCTCATGAGTGTCTGACAAACAACACATGTTTCGATTTTAATCAATATGGCTCTTTACACCAGGCATATAATGGCTCACACTTCATGTAACTCAAAGTACATTTTCTTCAAGTCTGTTTTTCAGTGCTGAGAAGCAGTACATTCATGCAAAGCCTAACCAAGTAGTTTTAGAGCCAAAAGCTAACCTAACCGCAACCATTTCACAACATTTACCACGTGTTAGAAAGCCTTTAGTTAGGTTTAGGAAAAGATGGTTTGGGTTAAAACAATAAGTCAATACTTATACGATATAATACTACAAAACTTTCACCAAACCTGCTCCCTTCTGGGACTCTTTATGTCACCTGACTTCATAAAGCCTTTTTGGCAGAAAACTTTAAGAAAGCCTTTTCGTTCATTAATTTAACCTGATTATTAAAGCAACTGAATGGTATTTCTCTTAATAACACAATAGAATTGCTCCTCTGAGTTGAGGTAACATTAGCCATGTTGATCTGAGGAGTATTTTAGTGGAAATCAAGTGTTGCTTAAATGCTTTGAGCAAAAAATACAACAAATCTTCTTGGAACAGGTTTTGTATGATAAAAACATGTTAGTGCAAGCCCACCCGGAACCCATAAAGATTGCATTGTAGTTCCTGCAGTAAAAAAATAAAATAAAATGCCTTAACATGATAGTTTATCAGAGTGATCGTTTCAACCAGACTGAAATCGCCCAAAAGGGTTGGTACTCCACAGAACATGACTTGACGCTGAGGCTGAGTGGCCTATGATATTTAGAGGCAGGGCAAACTTAATAATAAATTATTTAAAGAAAAATACTAATAATGTTAATAATATTTTTTTTGTTGTAGGAGGATGGAACTCTATTCCCCTCTACTGGCCAACACGAAATAACACAATTTGAAATAATCTGTTCGGACCACCCTGAACTCGAGAACACCCACACATTTATCAGAGGGGCCGAATTTGAACAAAAATTGTTCCAATTATCCTCTAGTGTGCACTAGGCTGAACCCCGAACTGCTCCCCGGACGCCGTACGATGGCAGCCGACTGCTCCTAAATAGGATGGGTTAAATGCAGAGAAATCCCCCCTTCCCTTTTGGGGTGGCAGTAGCTCAGTCCATAAGGACTTGGCTGGAAACTAAAGGCTCGCCGGTTCATGTCCAACTCGGCCCACAGATACAGAGTGTGAACTGGTAGCTGGAGAGGTGCTAGTTAAAATCCTGGGCATTGCCGAAGGTGGCCTTGAGCAAGTCCCTGAAACCCCAACCGCTTGGGGCGCCGCACCTGACATCTCTCCATGTTTTTTTGCTATAGGTCCTCTTTGTGCGTGTGTGTATTTCAGACCTGTGTAAAATACTAACATTAACAACAGAGTGAAAACACTGAGTTTCCCCTTGTGGGATTAATAAAGTGCATCTTATTCTGCAGCAGGCAGTCACTGTGGCTAACTAGCTGTTTGCTGCCATAAATATAATACAGAAAACTGTATTGCTGTACCTCCAAACTGGAGGCTGGCTGCTTTCGGCTGCTTCTTAAACCAGAAGGTTTAAACAGAGCTGGGCCAAGTAACAAAAGTAAAGTAATATGAGTAATATGTACTGAGTATATATTATTTTTAAATAGCTTGCCCAATACTGCTTGCAACTTGCAAAACAATTACTTTGTATCACTTCCATGATTTACTGCATGCCTCTTAAAGTACAGCACACAATAATCTCTTCATTTTGATCTCTATCTAGCTATTTATCTAACATCTTATCCTATCTCATCTGTTCTCTCTGGTGGTGCCCTCTTTTCTCTCTTACCCTACAATTTGATGAAAGTATAAATGAGAGCCCTGAGCATAAACTGTTTTCAGTATTCTGGGGTGCATCTATCTAGGCCATGAAAAAGCACTTCTAATCTCAATGAAACATGTATCTCAAGGGTTCTTCAACAGTTCCAGGCCCCTAACATGGAGACGTAATACTCATAAGCTGAGATCCATAGTTATTATGTCTTGTTGGTGCCCACGAGTAAGAGGACACACAGCTCATTTTTGGGTCCTGACCCACAGTTTTAATAAATCAGGTAGCAGAGATAGATATTGATTCCTTATGCAGGTTATGTTTTCAGCTGAGATAAACAGGGGGTCTGGGGAAATTTGGGGACAATCTGTGAGTCAATCACTGGAACCACCTCAATCTGCAGTGGTTCAAATTCTGTATTGATTTGGCAGCTACATAGCTGGAACCACATACCAGAGGATTCTAGTTTTTATGATGACTGACAAACACTGTTGGAGAGAGCAATCCACTGCAGTTGAAACAAATAATTCAATATAATATATTCAATCATTTTAATACAGCTATAAGAAAGCCATCATAATAATTTATTATAGTTATTCTACACTTAAGGTGTTATCTGTTTTGTAAAACTAGATTTATCTATTAGACACAGATTGATTGATTTGGGTAAATCTGAGAACAGCCCACAAGTCAAATGATGAAGCAAATGTAATTTGTGCTGTTCCCGAGATGATGAGCGGTTTCAGTATTTAATTATTCGTTTTGATTAGAGAATCCTAAGGATCGTTATAGGGGCCAATCCAGGCGTATTTTAATGGACTGGTCTCGGCTAAAACAAAGCCCATCAAAATCTACTCCTTTCTTTACTAAACTTTTCTGTGTCTTATCCACCTCTGCCTGCTACTGTTGAGCATTCTGCTGCATATGTAAGTGGAAATTAGAGGGTGTGAAAGTGAAAATATTTGGGCTCACTGACGTGTGACTTTGAGTTCAGACACTTAAACTGGCAAAATGCACAGATTCGCCAGACTCAGATGCTTATTATCATTAGCAAAGAGTAGTAGTGTTGAAAATATTCAGCAGCTTTGCATTTTACTGACCGTCTCTTTCATCGGTTAAAATGACAAACGTTGCCAGTGGCAGATTATACCATGTCCTACTAATTAGCGTTAATTCTTCATGACAGGCCAAAATTAAACTTGTCTGTTGTCTGGTGAAAGTGCTCCCTGAAGCCGGTGTCTGTGTTGGGCCAAAGATCATATATAAGGACAGAAGCTAAACTCTCAAATTGTTAATGTGATATGAATGAGAGCTTGAAACTTATCAACTTGATATTTTTGACGTCAAGTATTTGGATCAAGTAGCTCATGGAAATGAGGTGTGTCAAATTGAGTAGCCTACAGCTGTTATTCCAGTGTGTCGGATATACATTTAATCAACATTTAAGTAAATTTTTTTGAGTGAGACCAATGTTAAAGGACTGGGACCAGGATTAGGGCAAATAAAACTTGTTCCCCCGTTTTCATAACTACTAGACAAATACCTTCAAAGCTGAAGCAAAATCTATTCAAATGAAACTTTGTTTCAATTTGATGTTATGGCACGAAAGGCACTGGCCAAGCCGACATTCAGCCATAGGGCAGCATTTTTCCATCACTGAGCATCTGCGGCTGACCATAACCCTCTAGTTTTTGTGGTGTGTCCGGCACCGTGGGTACTAGTTGGCCTTAAATGGTGGGCGTACGGTCGATTGAGCATATTGAATCGGGGTTAAGGCAGTCAAAGCTCTATGACTGGTTGTTCAGCTTGACAAATTTAGTAAATCCCCCCAATAAGTGCAGTTTCTTTATTTTTCATCTTTGACAAAGCATGCAGAACACCATAGTACCAGTTGCCACTTTTAATGACTTTTAATGTTATACTTCAAAGTCTGTTTACAGTTATAAGGGAGTACTACTGCATATGGTGATAAAAAGGTGTATAAAGGCTTTCATGTCTCCAGAAGCGGTGTCAATTGGGCCGAAGACTAAAAGTTTGAAAATGAAAAGCATCTGGCGGTGTAACGTTAGAAAGATGTGAGTTTACCAGACCTCTGTAGCCCGCTCCTCATCTCTGCTGATGGACACACTGTCATATGCAAAACATACTGATTTCTTATACTCTAACATTTAACCGGGTGTGAGGTGAGTTGAATAAATGTGATTACCTTTTCATCAGGAGACTAATAAACAGAAATCTCCACTGTTAGCCGCTGATAGCGGCAGCATCTGACTGCTCATTAGAGTGTGTTTTGATAAAACACACCACTAACTGAGGAAGGGAGGGATATCTCCACAGCCTATACAAACCTATTAAACCATTCCTTTCACACGGACCTACCTAACGAGCGATTGTTATTAAATGTTCCTGTGTGTGTAACGAACCCTTTTTTTAAAAATTTTTAACAGAGCAAGGATGTGGCTTGTTTGTTCTTTCTGCAAGGAAACTGTAGTGCTAATTTATCCTTTTGTTAAGATATTCCAAAGAGCAAAACACAAAGAACTACACCCAAGTGTGCCCTGAGTATCAGCAAACAACAGGCCGTTGTTCAGGCTGGCGCTGGTGCTCAGTCTTGGCTTTTGTTTTCAATGATGCCAAATTTATGTTTTCTTATGGCGCTTCTGTGTTACATAATATACAAGGAAACAAGAAAACTGAACGGAAAAGGGGCCCAACAGGCATCAAAAGAAGCACCTTCTGAAGCATGTTGTCCCTCTTATTTGAAACCTGCAAAAAGCACATGGCATGTTCCCACTGAGTCCCTGCTTTAGTTGAGGCACGGTGCAGCAGAAAAACACTAAAGGAATTAAAGTCCCTGCCAGTGCAGCTGCTACATCAATCTGCTGAGCAACATAGATTGGCCATGTTCCAATGGGTGAGCGCTTCGATGGCTGGATTCGCTTCTGTTATCAGATATTGCACGGTAATTGCTAAAACAAAAAAAATTCACAATTTAACTGCTCTCTGCCAGACTTTAGCTACCTAATCAATACACTCAGAGTTAAAATATTAGGAGCAGCTGCTTTTCCCATAAAATAACCAAAGTTGGGGAATAAAGTTTGTGAGTTGGTGAAAGTTACGGCTCCTTATTGATTTAATTCACAAAGGAGAGATTAAGAACAGGAGATGGGAAACAGGAGGCAGGGGAGAACAAGAATAAAAAAATTTCACCTTATCAAGTCAGTCCTTATCCATTAGAACGCGACAGTGGCAGAGTGCATTACATTGTCTTTTTTTACCATCATTTATTGAAGATGTGATGTGTGCCTTCATTTACTTCAACTGTCCCTCCTCTGAAATGCAGACAGTGTAATTTTCTTTCCGTTTGACACAAAGAACTAGTAACAAGTAGAGAGGCGCCATGTCATTACCTTTGATTCTACTTCACTCTTCTCCCTTTCCTTTTCACACGTATAATACCCATTTCCCCTCTCTTAGATTTCTTTCCTGCCATTTTCCAATGTAAAACTATAATTCGGAATATTTTTCTGAAAATGAAAACGGCTCACCTGAAAATAGTGAGCAGGATGGAGGGAATCGCAGGCAAAGTGAAACAAAGAGGGAGCGATGGCGAGTGCTGCAGAGTCTGACAATGAGTGTGAAAGCTCTGGAAATCTGATGACCTTTCAAGCTTCAGCTCCAGACACAGAGGGAAAGACTGATGAAGCAGACAGAGAGAAACACTTACCTCCTATGAGGAACATGCCCGTTGTCTATGGCTTCTACAGTCAAAGCGTAGCTCCGCCCAACAGTGAGATCGACACCTGGTGCCACAGTAATGACCCCAGTGCTGTGGAAACAGTTCATTCAGTATTACATGATTAATAAATTATTTTATTCATTACTATTATAATGAAGGCAGTAAGTGTAGCATGTAACATGAATACATATTTAGTTTTTATTCTGAGAGTATTGCAGAGAAAATGCTTTCACAAACTGGTATCATGCCCAATATCACGTTGTAGAATCTGAATTAGTTAAAGGAATAGTAAGATATGTCTGCAAATATGGCTTTAATGTCACTGGTTAGCCTCTCCTGGCTGCGCGGCAGCCTCAAGGTTATGACAAGTCTCCAAGGGTCTGCATCATCGTCAAGAAATAGACCACCACACAACCCCATAAAACCACAATTTTTACATTTTAAAAGAGATTGTGTGTATTAGAAAGTTTGACACAATGTCTACCCAGCCTGTAAAGCGAAAGCAGGATGCTAGAGCAACAGCAGCAGCTACAGCTACAGTCCTCGGTCAGCATCTACATAGGATGCTTTCAGGCACATTACTGAGGTCAGCTGCATTTTGGCAGCACTTGGAGCCCAACATAAAATCACTAGGCTCATAAACACAGAAGAAAATGGACTTAAAGTGTAAAACTATGCTTCAGGTTACGGTTACGCAGGAATAGCATGAGTGAATTTCAAGAATTTCCCCTCGAGGATCAATAAAGTATGTCTGATTTCTGATCTCTGAAGTGCAAAATATAGAAGTGTCCGTTCTATCAGACGCACATTTGTGAAGGATGATTTTATTAGAAATTTATGTGTAAACAAGCCTTTAGAGGTGCTGTTAAGTGTATTTTTTTCTTGTCGTGTTGGCCAGAGCCATTTTAGCTGTTCCCCCCCCATTTTCTTTGTGCTAAGACAAGCTAACTGGCTACTCGTGGTAGCTTCATATTTAGCTCACAGACACGAGAGTCTGGTGCCAATCTTCTCATCTAGCTCTTGGCAAGAAAGCGTATTTCTCAAAATGTCAAACTATTCCTCTAACATAATCAATATAATCTAAATAATATTACAACACATGTAATATATTTACCTGTTGCCAATAAGAAAATGTCCTTGGTCACCAGCCAGGATCCGGTAGGTGACCTGACCGTTGGGACCTGCATCAGAGTCAACTGCTGACAGCTGGGAAGAGATACACAAACACACTAAAGTGCCATGTGTGTAAACACTCACACACATTCTTACACCATAATGAAAGATGAAGTTTCAATTTCACATTATGTCATGAGAGTCCATCCATATCAAGTGTAAGCATTTAATAAAGTATGTTGCAAATACACAAAGTATTTAATAACATTAAAATGTGTAGTGTGCGTGACTGTGTGTACCTGTAACACGGTTTCTCCAGGCATCTTATCAGTAAACAGGTTGACATTATAAGAGACATTAGCAAAAGTGGGAGTGTTGTCATTTGCATCCAACACTGTTATCGTCACTGTAACCGGAATGCTGTGCTGGACACCGTCTGATGCTGAAAGCTGGAGAGACAGAGACGCAGAAAGAGAGGGATGAAAGGAAAGAATGTATACTGCATTGTTTTGACGAGCAAAGAATGAGAATGTTCCTTCTTGTAGAAAATATTACTTTCAGCCGAGCTACAAAAAAGCTACCTTTTGAGAATCCTGAGGTGGGCGGACTGTGTACTCAGTATGTCCTTGACATCTTGATAGCGTCTGTTTGTTTCCTTGTTTCTTTTGAGGCAGAGTTGTTCTGTGTTTTTTTGATCTAAATCCCTGTTCTGGGATCACTGTTTTTGTGGGTGCAACTGAAAAACTCTTAAAAAATCCTTGAATCAATTTGCCCCAGCTGTCTCTCATAATTTTACCTATACAATTTCTTCGCATGATTGTTGCTGGCTGATTAAAATGTGTATAGCATACAAAAATACCTATAAACAAACATTTTTGTCCAATTAATCATAATGTCACTGTAAATTACTGCTTAAAAGCACCTTCCATGCGCATTACCCAATAGTTTCTCCAGAGTAATTTGTGCCAGGTGGAGTTTGACATTTTTGGAAATATTCTTATTTAATTTGCTTTCTTGCCAGGAGATACGAAGTTAGATACGAAGATTTAATACCACTCTACACACTAAATATCCAGCTGTATGTATATTGTATATTTATAGGAGATATAAATTGATTACTGAGCTGTACAGTTCTGGCCAACTTAGCCAAGCCAGCTTTTTCCCCGCGCTACCAGCTAAGATAGCCACATGCTGGCTCTAGCTTATTGTTTATTGTACAGACATGAGAGCACTATTTATTTTCTCATCTGACGCTTGGCTGTAAGGCAAATAAACATGTTTCCCAAAACGTGGAGCTATTCCATTAAGCAGAACGCATTCATCATTATTATATACATTATTTGCTCCCTGTCATTTTAAAACATTTGGACTTGTAGCTTTTTAGACAGGGCAATTTCTGAGATGTTGTAAAGTGTCAGTAATGATGGGATGAAACTCAAAAACACTCAAAAATAGACAGGCTGTCTGGATTGCTTAGTGCCAAATCAATTTAAGAATTATATCAAATTCTGTATGTTGTGTTATATTTGTTTTATGATCAGCAGGGCTTTTGACATCATCTTGGACTCCTGTGCCCTACAATCAACACACAAACATTTTAGCATTCATGCTCTTGTATGTAAAAAAATAAATAAATAACTCGCATGAAACGCATCCATTAAAAATGTTGGTTAAGCAGGCCACAGTGCTTTAAATTCACGAAAAATGATCTGTCATTTTGTTTTTGTGAACTTCCTCCAGTGACTCCATTTTTTTTTAGAAATCATCCAAGTGCATATCAACAGAAGCTTCTTCACTGATACCAATCTTCTCCACAGGCTCATCTGCCAAGAAGCTGATTGACTCCTTTAAATGAATATCATCCTCCATGTCTCATAGCCGTCCATCCTTCTCTCTCTCTCTCTCTCTCTCTCTCCCTCCTCGAGTTTAATTTCTTCTGCAAGGCTTTCATGATGATTACTGTACACCTCTGCCTTTCAATCAATACGCCAGACCTTCTGCGTTTTCCATCTTTAACTTCCAAATAGCTGCATGCGCACAAAAGCACTCATAAACTCATACAGTGTGCTGCACTCCCCCACACAGTCACAAATGCACACTGTCAGTGTAACCAGACTGAACTTGACAGATAACAGACTGCTGCATGAAGTAACAATGCTGTATCATCATATGGTGTGGCACACACACAGAAATACTCTGAGCTTGGCAATGGCCAGCCTCTGTGTGCTCTACCAATAAAGAAGCTGCTGAATTAGATTGCACTGAAATAAGGCACAGAAGAAGAGAAGAAGAATGGCAGATTGAGAAGGAGAGGAGCAACAAAAGGAGGAGAGAAAAGAGGGGGAAATGGGCTTGGAAGACAGCCACAAAGACGAATAGAAAAAGGAAAACGGATGGAACAAGGTACACACATAGGGATAACAACCACTGTATTGAATCTTGTTTTCTACATCTATTTCTGCACTGAGCAAAGGAAATACTGGTCTGAATGTTGAAAAACTAGCCTACTAGCCCTGCTAAGACATATTAAACACATGCAGTGCTGAAATGTAAAATTAAAAAATATATTTTTAAGCAGTAGTGGAGGCAACTCAAATTCTGGACTGAAAGGAAATGAGCGCAAGTCTCTTTTCTTCTATTCTCTTTCATTCTCGGTCCTTCTTGTCCCTGTTTCTTTTCTCTGTAACCTCCTGCTCTCTTATTTTTAAGTCCATTTTCTCTTATTCACCTGCACCGCCATCCCCTGCATTCTCTCTACCCTCACTTTATCTTGCTTTTCCTTCCTTACAGGACATGACTTCTCTTTCCTATTCATCTACCGCCCTCTTCTTCCACCTCTTCTCTAGATAAGAGTGTTTTTTAAAGACCACTGCTATGGGTAGTCAAGGGTCTCTGATTTGAAGTGAGTTATTCAAATGCATTCAGACGTTTATCCCCTCTCTTTCTCACACAAATGCCAAGGCTCTAGAGTACCGTGAACGTATAGGAGTCTTGTGTCTCTCTGTCCAGGGGCTGCACCAGGGTGAGATATCTTCTGATTCCAGTAGCAGACACAGAGAAAACATCATGATAGGTGTCCAATGATAACTGGAGCTGAGGATCCCTGGTCTGTTGGAAGAGAAAGAAAAATGTTTAGAGGAACAGAGAGGACATTACCATGGTGAACTTTTCTCTTTAAGCATTATCACCGAGGGAAAGTACTGTTGAATGTGTGTGTACCTTCCTTAAAGCTGCAACATATTTACACCTGGGAGCTACCCATTACAACCACACAGCCCGTCCTCACCAAGAAAACAGCAACACGACAACATAGGTCGATAGTTGAAGGCCTTAAAATTGCTGAATTTTACGTTATGAGAGGCCTCTTTTGGCCGTGTAACCAAGTACAAGTGAAAAAACAGGTGTTGTATATAAATAACCACAAAATTACTATCTTGGAGGTGGTGATTAGGGTGGATGGTTAGATGACTGCGGTAGGTAGAATGGATGATTAGATGATTTGGGTGACATTTACCCGTGTGAAAAAAAAAATCCATTTTGTAGTGTCTGCTTTAAGTGTTTTAGGTAGCATTTTGCAACGTTTCATGTAGCCATAGCTAGTTAGCATTACTGTTAAAGGCATTGACAGCCCCCCAAAGCCCCTAACCCCAACCATCACAGGGTGTGCCTAAACCGTGACTTCATGCATGTCGACCGGTTAACCTTGTGTTGCAATGGGGAACAGAAACTGCCCATATATGTCGTTTTGGAGAAAACGCTCGTACATGTCGTTTTAGGAATCATTAAAAACTCATATAGGTTGTTTTGGAGGCATCAACTATAGACCTATTCTGTCGTTTCTATATGAGAATGTGTTGCAGCCACAGCAATGAAATGAAGGCTACTAAGCACCACCATCGGTTCAATTAAAGGAATAATGCTTGATGAGCACACAGTGAATAATCAATAGAGCAAATAACAGAAGTAACACCTTTAGTAACACATCCAAATCCTCCTCTGACATTACCCACACAGTCACTTCTTCTGTGTGTATGCTGCATATGTGTGTGTGTGTGTGTGTGTGTGAGGTCCTGGATAAGGCTGGCTCAGCAGGGTAGGGGAGGGGAGCTGATAATATTGTCGATGTAGCCAGTGTGGATATTGAGTCATAAATAAACACACACGCACAGAGTTAAGGACACACACAAACACACAGACACTCACAGTCGTATTCACACACATAAATAAAAGTGATAGATGGCACATAAAAGCAATTAGGACTAATCATCATTGTTGGGACTAAATGCTTGAGGAAAGACCAGGGTTAGCAATATTTAAAATAACTCAACGTATATCTATCGGCAGAAACACACACACACACAGACACACAGTCTCAAGAACACACAGAAACACACACATTATCCCCACTAAGCCCATTCCCTGCTGTGGGGGTCTTTTAGAAAGCAATGAACCAAAGCTTGTTTTTGTCAAAATGCCTATGCTACATCTTAAACAAACTAAGCTCTTGGGAATGCATCGGCGATAACGGTGTTGCAGCCCTGTAAATTCTTACATTATCACAGAGAGGCAATTTAAGAGGGGAATGGTTTTACTATCCAGATTCAGAGTGAAATTAGATGGGGCACTTCAGACACTGCAAGCAAGGCACAAAGCAGAGATTCAGTAGAACAAAAAGAAGGGCTGAAACAGACACTTCAATGGCTCGATCCTTCATTTCACCATGCTGCTGGTTTTGTTTACATGGTAATTTAATTGTGCTTGAAGACAGGAATTGGGTTGTTTATACACTTGAGACCTGTATTTTATATAAGGATGGAAAGTTATTGAAGTGCTGTGCATGGTGCTGTAAAATGAGTGATACTCCACATCTAAAGACTTTGGGCGGTCGTGTCTTTATTTATTTAGATTTCCAAAAAATCAAAAACAAAAGTGTCAGGAATGAATTAAACAGTCAGTTTGCTCTAACTTAAGCTGCAAAGGTTAGCATGCCTGGCTAACCTGAAACAAAGTGCATGTTTAAGAATCCTTTTACAGGGTTCTTGTTTGATGAGCCAGACTGAAATATAGAATAAAGTTTTCCAGAGACAGCGTTTTTCAAGTAACTCTTTGAGCAACTGTTGGCTTAATTAATAAGCTGGTTACAGCTAATAAAATCTGCCTGCTACTATTATTTCAGCTGCCAAAGTTGACAACTTGGCAACTACAAATAAGAAGTGAGCTATTGTCTTCCTCTGTCCAAAATCAAGACCCATTCTTTCAATTTCCAAATGTCTCAATAGCGAATTAAGGCAAATTATTAAAAAGTTGTGATGAAACATTGGGCAATAGGCATTGAAGTTTAGAGGAAATTTTTGTTTTTGTTGTCAAAGACACAGTCCTTGCTAACATCAACCAAAGAACTCAGCAAAAGGAGGTAAAGACTGAAAGAACAAACTCAACTGATACCTACAGGTGTCTTACTGTCTGTCAGCTAATAAGGAAGAAGATATAACAAAGTTGTAAAAAGAACTTCTGCAGTTTTCTGTAATAACAGTTTTCTCACTATTTAGTAACGTGAGTATTAAATCAGCTTATTATCTCTTAAGTCAATGACAACTCAGTATGCTTTTATCCTCACCTCCTCCACATCGTTATCCAGCGCTATGATGGCAAGTGGTGCAGACAGGCTGGCACTGGTTGCTACGGTGGTTCCAACTGGTGATGCCTCACTGACGTAGCCATGGTAACTGGTCTCCAGGAAGTAGGGTGCCTGGTTGTTCTCGTCTAGAACTTCGATTTGGAGGTTGGCGAAAGCTGGCAAGGGGTGGCCGTTGTCCTGCCCTGCCTAAAGGCAGAAAGAAAATTATTGTTGATTTTGGCTGTGAGTCACCATTTGTACCAGCCAATACTCCTTTTGCAAGTGGTATTTAATGATAATGCTTCAAATAATATGCAATAATATAGTAATAAAGGATGATCTGACAAATGCTACATTACCAATATACGCCAGTTCTACATTTTGAGTTTAACAACAAACAAAGCCTATTTGCTTTCTTATAAGTCGGATATAAATTAATTGCAATTTTTGATGAGTGAGTCACTGGTCAGTCAGTTTTTTATCAACCTGTCACTTTTTAAAACAGAAACAGTTTCCCTCAAGAGACCAAATTTTACTAGGCTACTGAAGCCCCATTTGGTCTGAATTTATATCTCTAGAGGAGGTGGGTGCAATTTTAATTGTTCCCCTACCCCAGTAATAACAACTTGCTGTTTATGTGAACTCGCTGTTCCTCCTGCAATTCACATCCCGTTATTGCAACTACCTTGTAGTTCAAGAGCTCCTTGTACTTCTACTTTTCTTTTTAATCAGCTTAGTATGACATTTGACTTTTGTAAGAAAATGGAGTATATTAAAAATATTTTTGCTAGTCTGATAGATAGAATCAAGCCAACACAAATAGACAATAAAGTATGCTTTAGGGCAGGACTACACTGTGAATGACAGGTCGCTACCATGGTGACTCATACCACTGCTCTGTGTAAACTTAACCAGCACCATTGAAAAAGCTTATTAGGAGTCATTTTTTCCGGTAAGTACGTTGTTTAAAGCCTGTTTTTAGTTAGCAAAAATTAACATCCAGGTTAAAATCACAGTGAATTACAGACGCACCTAGCTAACCATCTCCACCGTCTCATCCAAATATGGTCACGTCCGGTACCTGGTTGCAAAAGATCAACTTGGCGGCGGCCAAACTGCCAAAGTCAAGGCTTCAATGTAATGTTGGTATTCCCGCTTGCACCCTGTCTTTTTTGCCTATATTTGTTTATATTAACAAATTGACTATTAGCAGTTCCGTTTTTTCAGTGCACCCTAGAATATACAGACAACAACCACTGAATGACTCTGATACAGAATTTTTTTTTATGATTTTCAGCCAATTTCTGAAGTGTCCTTTCTATTATTTCTAAGCTGATTTATGGACATTTATTCACAATGGACATTTAAGATTGTCACCTTTGGTAGTCACACTGAATGATACAAATAAGTGTTTCATGTCTGTGTCTTAAGATTTGACTGAATATACAGAAGAAAAATCTAAATCAAATATATATTTGGTGTGACCAAATTTTGCCTTCAAAACAGCATCAGTTCTTGTAGGTACACTTGCACAAAAAGTGAGGGATTTTGTACGCATATTATCAGGTGTATGATGAACAAATATAGCAAACATATGCTAATGATCACCAAATTAAAGGTGAGGTTGCACCAGACAATTTACTGTCGATAGTCATACACCATGGCAAGACTGAGCACAGCAACAAGACACAAGGTAGTTACTGCCTCACAAGGTCTCTCCCAGGCAGAAATGTCAAGACAGACAGGGGTTTCCAGATGTGGTGTCCAAACTCTTTTGAAGAAGCACAAAGAAACTGGCAACGTTGAGGACCATTGACGCAGTGGTCAGCCAAAGAAACTTACTGCAGCAGATGAAAGACATCATGCTTCCTTTTACAATCGGAAGATGTCCAGCAGTGCCATCAGCTCAGAGCTGCAGAAAACAGTGGGACCCTGGTACACCCATCTGCTGTCTGAAGAAGTCTGGTCAGCCTTCATGGATGACTTGCAGCCAAAAAGCCATACCTCTGACATGGAAATGAGGCCAAGCGACTCAACTATGCACAGAAATACAGGAACTGGGGTGCAGAAAAATGGCAGCAGGTGCTCTGGACTAATGAGTCAAAATTTGAAACTTTTAGCTGTAGCAGTCTGTTCACCGAAGGGTTGGAGAGTGGTACAAGAATGAGTGTCTGCATGCAACAGTGAAGCATAATGGAAGTCCCTTGCAAGTTTGGGGCTGCATTTCTGAAAACAGAGCTGGGGATTTAGTTAGAATGAATGGTCTTCTCAATGCTGAGAGATACAGGCCGATAGCCGATACTTATTCATCATGCAGTACCATCAGGGAGGCATCATCAATGTATTCTTCAGTACGACAACGACCCAAAACATACAGCAAAAGTCATTAAGATCTTCAGCGTAAAAAACAATAAGGAGTCCTGGAAGTGATGGTATGGCCCCCACAGAGCCCTGATCTCAACATTATCAAGTCTGTCTGGGATTACATGAAGAGAGAGAAGCAACTGAGGCTACATAAATCGGCAGAAGAACTGTGGGTAATTCTCCAAGATGTTGGGCCAACCTACCTGCAAAAAAATATTGCCCAAGTGTACCTAGAAGAATTTATGCTGTTTTGAATGCAAAGGGTGCTCACACCAAATATTAATTTGATTTTCATTTTTCTTCTCTTGACTTACTGGATTTTCTTAATTAATAAATATAGTCTATAAACATGCCTATTTTTGAAAGCATTCTTACTTTACAGCATTTTCCACACCAGCCTAAAAGTTTTGCACAATACTGCATATATGACTCCAGTTCACCTCACAGAGTATCTCCGTTCCCGCCTACACTTCAACCTTCCCACGCCTAAGTTTATTGAAGTGTGACAATCTGAAACATGTGACTCTACAGCCTATATACCAGTCTGCTTTTATGTTTCTTCTGTCTCTACTCTCCTATGGGTCTTCTCCTATTAGCTTGTATCTGTTTCGCCATTTTCATTTACATCTCATTCTTGTTGCTGTTTTGCTCCCTCGTGTCTCTTCCTCCTCCTTCCCTCATTCATTAGTTCATGTGGGATCCAACAGCTGTACCATCCCAAAAGCACAACTAATGAGCTGTCATTTCATAAACACAGTATCTGTACACTCATATACACAGATACACAAACACCTTTAACTACAGCAAAACCATCCTATGGAGGGAAAAATCTATTTTCACTTTCAGTAGAGCCGAACTTGATGTATGCTTGGTGGTGTAATTCCATTACCAGCCTAATTGAGACAAAAACTCCTTCACACAGCATGAGTTCTGATACTTTACATTTACTGACATTTAATTTACAGAATACAGGAAGCATCAAATAAATATATTTAGGAGGAACAGTTAGTCTTAATTCACTAATCAACAGCTTGAAGGATGTTTGGGGGTTAAAGGCAGTTTAAAAAAAAGCACTGCACATTGAAGGGTTGCTGTTTCCATAAGATACTTGCTGAGAGAAAGTCAAGTTAAGCCTCCCCTGTTTCTCAGCTTGAGTGTTTCTCACCTTGATAACCAGATCAAATCTGCGGTAGAGTTCTCTATCGATGGGCTTGAGTAGAAGGAGCTCTGCTGTGGTTCTGTTCAAGCTGAAATATTCTGCATAGGACTCTGGTTTGCCTGAGAGAGAGCAGGCAATAAGAAGTAAGAACAAAACAGTAAAGAGTAAAAACAAAATATACAAAAACAGGGTAGTGTGTGTGTATATATATTGATATATATGTGTGAGAGAGGGTGATACATCAGTAATTGGTTTAAGAATCAATATATGTTTGTCTGGTGGGTGTCTAGGTGGAGTATGAGAGAGACGGGGGGGGGGCATGGCTAATGCTCCCAGTTTTCTCATCTCTGCTCTCCACAGGTGGGGATGCACACACACACACACACACACACACACACACATATATATATGTTGCTTTGGAATGCTGCATTGCTCAGTGGGGAAATCAAGTTCTGGTGAGAGCACAGGCACATCTGCACAAGACCATGTGATTCCCTCTATATTTGTGGTTATGGATTTTTGTGTGAGTGCCTCTTCTTCTTAAGGTATGTCCTTGTGTCCAAGAATCAAGGCTTCAGTGAATACCTCGTCAATGTTCTGCTTGCAACTTTGCAATGGTCAGTTCTTTAAAATAATGTTGCTGTCCAGAGCAATTACCAACCACTGTTCACATACTATCTAAACACTGACACTTCCTCAGCTGACCCTCAAACGCAGCTTCATTTTTTCATTTTCAAATCATTGGAACACATTTTTTTTGCCCTTTGTGACACTGTCTCTCATAATCCTAACTGAGACTGAGATTAGTTTCACAGGAGGAGTCTGGGAAATGTAATCAAGTCATGTCAGTACATTTTTACGGACTATGCAGATCCTCGTGAGTAAAAGTGAGACGTTTTCTGTGACTCCATTTTACAATTTCAGTAATCACAATGTCTTGACGTGATGGTGCACTGTTACTGTTATAAATCACTTTCAAGTTAAGGTACTTTAAAGCTTTAAAAAAATTTCATCTCTGTAATTTTGGAAACATCTTATCCTTTGCAAACTGGCTGTTAGCTTCCCGTTAATTATCAAGTCACATACAGTTTTACTCTGCTGACTTAAACCTGCACCTAAACATTTAACTGCCTTCCTATAAAACCATGTAATCCTTCTCTAACAATTAGGCCCTGGGCTAAGGAGCCATGAGACCACAGATCTGCAAGATTTGGTCCCTTGAAGTCCTCTATGAACAGATGTGCTGAAGTCATTCTGAATTATAAAGTAATCTTAATTGTTGTAAGTAAATGGTCCGTTAAATAATGTAATGCGTGACCAATCAGGACAGTTTTTTTTGCTTCAAACAAAAAAAAGTGGTGAAATTGATGAAATGAAAAAAACACATATATTTCAAGGAGATTGTGTCTGTTTCTGTGCCAGCTAGGAGTCGGCTGTATCTATCATGATATAATTGTATATGACAATATAGTGACAGACAGAATATCTGTTTTCAGCTAATACAACAAATGAAATACTTGAAATCTTTGCAATAATCTAATCTGTGGAAGTTACACAAATGTTCATTACTGTTTTATTGCCCAATACTAGTGCCAACTAACATAACCCAAACAAATATGAACCTACCAATGAGGATGGAGTATATAATCCCTGGCCGGTCAGAGGGAGGTTGTATGTTTTTGTCTTGGTCCACAGCTTGAATAGGTGGAGTGACATTGAGAGGATTCACCTTATTCTGAAAACAGAACCAAGGACAGTGTTCGAGTTGAATATCTGATTACAATCATTACCTATAAATGTGAAAAAACAGATAAAATTAGTATGATATAAATCAGAACTAGCAAAAACAGGATACGCTATGCGACACAATTGTTCGGTGTATGAAAGTTTACTTGTTTCATTTTAAGAGTGAAAAACAAAGAAAGACAGTAAGAACCAAAGAAAGACTCAAACAAACAAGCAAACTTGTAGAACAGCACCATCTTAAATTTGCATCATGGGAATTTATCACTTCAAAGTTTAAACTATTTTTTGACCCAGACTAGTTTACCAAGAGCATTTAGAACAAAACAGCTACTGCTTAAAACAAGAGCTGAAAAATGGGGAGGGATATAAAAAATATGTTCTTGGTGGTCGGTCCCACTCAGTTGTTCTAAGGTATGAAAATAAGCTTAAACTAGGCTATTTATTTATGTAACAACACACTCTGAGTATGCCAGCAAAGCTAGTGAAAGTTGCTGCAGAATAGGAAAATCAATTGTTGGCAAAACAATGTGCTTGCCCACACATAAAATTATGTGTACGTACGGAAAGAAGAAAAATTATCACATTCACTGAAATTAAATCATAACAACCAGGGCCTGTTTTAATATGCATTGTACCTGTTTGTCTATATAAATGTCTATCTACTCTGTACACACACATATATACTGTATGAGTCTGCTGTTGTGGATCTGTATGCGAGTGTGGATAGGCTATAATACTGACATAATAGTATAATATGCTGAGGTGTGGGTAATATGACCCACCTTCAACGGAAGAAACATTACACGCCTTTAGGATGAAATCTACAACGACTAAAGCTGTAAAATGTTAAGCCAAGCATGCCAAGACTGCTTGTATTCCCAAATGTGGAAGAATGCATCAGTACACTCCTAGGCACGCATACGCAATGGTAAGCTCATACACCTGCTATGATACAATACTTTACTACCGCACCTGTCATGCAGCACTTAAAATCTACTGGCCATCATAGAGCTACATCTCCTGCTTCCCATCACAGAGAGAGGTGAGGAGAGAGATGCCGGCAGATAAGAAGTTATGGTGAGTAATGAAGTGGCGTAAAAGTGGTAGTAAATATATGGAAGGGAGAGGAATCTGCCAGGAGTTGGGGGTAAACAGAGCAGAGAGAGATGCAAATGTAGCAAAGATGAAAGGGGGAGTCAGAGAAAGACAGCCAGGTCTAAGAACACTGACACACTACTATTACCTTTACTTATCCTTTTACACACCGCCTCACTATGGATTTTTTAAAAAGCACTGACATACAACAATATAGAACTTAAAAGCAATGCTAGAGTCAATATGTGCGAGAGACAGTAAAAGAAAGATTCTGTGTTAGATGTAAGCTGAATTATATGTAGCACCCACTCTAAGAATTAGAATAAGAGCACTGCGGTTTCTGAAACTGTAAATAATTGCTATCATTGATTATATCTGTCTTTTCAGACAAACACTGATCACCTTTTCAAAGTGCAATTCTTTTGCACAAGACTATTAAGATGTGAAATGCATCTTGACAATTCTGGTCATACTGACCAGTAAAAGTTATTACTATGTAACAAGCTTAGCTTCAATACATTTTCTTTAATCTTGTCATCACGAAGGCAAATTTGATCCTAGGAATGTCCTGAACATCCACTCAACAGTTTGACTCCCTCCTTCAGACCACCACTTCAGAATGCTAAAGAAGTAACATAAACAATCCTCCTTTACACTTGTTCCTATTTAAAGACTGTTTGACACATATGCTTCCTTGTTTTCCCAGAACCCCCCCCCCCCCAGCACTTCAGTCAAAGTTTTCATCAGGCTTTAATCAATCAAATAAATAGTTGAATTGCTGCTCCCCTGTGAGCCAGAGCAGAGCCTCAGATCCTCTGGCAGGGCTCTGCTGGCTGTTCCTGAGTCCCGGCTCAAGACTAAAGGTGACCGGGCTTTTTCAGTCACGGCCCCTCAGCTCTGGTAGTCCTTGCCTAGAGATCTAAGGATTGCAGAATCAGTGACATCTTTGAAATCACTTCTCAAAAGATTTTTTATTAATGCTAGCACAAGGTTTCATTTCCAACATGTCTTATGTGTTTTATTATCATTATTATAGCTTTTTTTTTTGTATATTATTGTTGGGTAAGTGATTCCATTTCAGTTTTATATTACTCAGTAATTTTAAAAATTATTTTATTTGACTCATTGCAGTCCTGGAACGTTTGAATCCTGGTTCAAATTTGCACTTTGTAGCTTCTGAAAAGTGCTGTATAAATGACATTTATTATAATCAAACTTTCTTTTGTCAAGCCTTGCTATTCTTTAATATAACCTTTTTACTTTGTGTACACAGTCAAAACTATAGTTTTCACCTGTAGTTTTAGTGACAGCTACAGCTTATGGTCATTAATTCTAAGAGATGGCACAAAAAACATTTTCACTAGTCAAACATGCATTCCACTAAGCTGTGCCAGGGCCATCGTATTGTACACACTAACTCAATGTGACATACTTGAATTGGGGCTGCAAGATTGTTCTCATTACAATTACAAAACAGTCAAATAATGTGTTTTTCAAAAGACTCATCACAGTTTCCCAAAGCCCAAGTTAATATATTCAAAAGGCTTGTTTTGTCCAACCAACAGTTACAACCTAAATAACAAAAAGAAGCAAATATTATCTCATTTTTTGGCATTTTAACTTAACAAAAAGGATTCTTTGATTATGTAAAATGCTGCCAATTAATTTTCTGTTAACTAATTGATCAATCGTCTAATTGTTTCAGCTGTAACTGGAACTAAACAGTACATTGGTCTTGATCTGCAATTGTTTCCTTTAATATATATATATTTTTTTGTTTGTTTGTTTGTTTGTTTTTTCACTTAAACACTGCCTCTTTCTTGTGTGCAAGTGCTGACTTAGAAAAATGGTGGTTACTATAGAGCAAGAAAGTAAACTATTTGAGATCAGTTATCCCAAATTACCAACCTTTAGTAAGACCAGATAACTCCGGGAGACTCTGACAACACTGACTTCACTTAATGATACAGGTCGAAAATGTGGGCCCCTGAGTAAACACAACAAGCTGCGTATGTAACGTTAAAAGCCTCTTTACTCACTGGGCTTTCAAAGCTTACTGTCAGGAATATGCAGGCAGGCAGAATCAAGGCAAGCAAACGCTGCTGAATCAGCAGGCAGAACATCAGCAACAGGTATCAAGCAGACATGAACGTCTCAGACACCACAACAACTACGCAACAGCATCTGGCAAATGTGTGTGGGGAAACTGCCTTTCATATATATACGGGGGAACTAATGAGCAGCAGCTGTGCAGGCAGGTGGCTGATCCTGAGAGTAGTGAGATCAATAGAGGAGGGAGAAAAACCCTGAGGGTGTTTAGTGGTCAGGTGAGGCTTTGTGTCAACCACTGAGCTGTACAGGAGCACATGGCAAGACTTCTCCATGGTGCAAGAGGGATACAGCACATCCCTATCACATAAAAAAACAGATGGCTATTTCCACAATAAAGTGCTGCAAAGTTCTAGTCTGTGTTAAAAGCAGCTACAAAATAAAGTTGTCGCATTTAGAGCTGTCTTTGATGTTTTGTTCATCTTCATGCAACTTGTAGCCAATTAATTGCCAGTCTGATGTAATGACAAACTTAAGGACTGGTCAGGTCCTGGGAAAGTTGTTTACTGAACTGTTCAATAATCTATTTTTCCCTTACAGCTATTCATTTCGGAGTTGCAGAGGCAGCAACGTTTTTGAAGTGTATGTGTGAACATGGCCTGATAGCCAGCTCCTCGGCATAAATGACCAGCATTTGGTGTGTATATGTGTGTGTGTGAGGGAGAAAGACACAGAGAGAGTACAGTTATGTTGGCTCCAAGGTTCTGAGGTTGTCATATCTTATCAGTCTGATTAGGGCTCAAGCTATTATAGTGCCTTGACTCTCCTCTTCGTTCATTCCTCTCCTCACCTCCCCATATTTTTTTATACACCAGCAAAAGCAGGTTTGTATTTCTACCTCTCTCATCCCATTTTCAATTTCTTTCTTTCCTTTTTCTATCTATCTGTCTATCAGTTAGTAGTCCCATTAGCTGACTCTACCGGGACTGGGAACTCGAAGTACAGGGTTGGTGTTTGTTTGGAGAGGTTGTCAGGTCCAGGGAGAGGGATCTAGCGACAAAAGCCCCTTTTCCACTGCAGGGTACCAGCTCGACTCGCCTCAACTCTACTCACCTATTTTTGGTTTTCCATTGTGGAAAAGTTGTACCTGTACCTGCTACCAGGTAGGCCTACTTTTTTTCGTATCACCTCAGTCGAGGGTACAAGCAAGTATATCCAGCTGCAGCCCGCAGACAAACGTGACGGAAGTTGAACTTCCAAATATGGTTTGTTCCAGAAGACATTGCGCACAAAACGTGATGACGTTAATCTCGGTTCACGTACAGGATGGATCCTAATGCAAACCGTTTTATTCTTTAGAAGCCTACAACAGAACTTAAATACACTGAGAAATTTTTAGGTGAGAAATCCACTGTGTAGATTTCGAATATAGGCAGTTTTACGAAAAGTGGCAGTGATTCGAAAATGTGTTCAAACTTTGTTGTTGAGAAGCTCCACAAGTGCCGACGGGTGCTATATAGCTGCAGTAACGTTACCGGAGGCTGCACAGCAACACAATGGAGGTTAACCCTATCCGCTATGTGCGCCGCTGTAGGGTTAACCGGTCGACATGCATATAATCAATAACTTTAGGCACACACCCTGTGATGGTTTGAGTAAGAGGAATATACTTCGGGGGGCTGTCAGGAATAGTTAGCTAGCTAGCTCTGGTTAGCTCCCCCAGGCCCAGTCTCACAGACCACTGCAGCCAACACAGCAGATGTGTCCAGCAACAGCTGAATGATACTGTTAATGTTCGTACCGCTGTTATTCTGTCAATAAATTCTCAGTAATGTTAAGATTTAA